AATTAAAAATAATTTAAAAACATTTTTAAAAAGGAGTATATGCAACAAGGATAATGGACACTGCCCAATTCTGAACCTCCACATATATACTCCATGAATAATACAGGACAAAAAGAAAAACATAACTATACAAAACCCACACAATCGGCATTAACTAGAAAGCAGAGAATGACTGAACTTCAAAATGCTTGTTAAAAAAACCAGATTCATTTGCACACTTTCATGCTCCAAAAACAATAGGGAAAATAAGTTCTAAATTTATTTAAAATGACTAACAGAGAAAATGCTTACCCTAATTATGAAAATAATGTGGGGGGAAGCATTTTCCATGAGCTTCCTTGTGTCAGTTATTTAATAACTTCTATTTTTCCATTCGTGTTTGAAGCAAACTATTTAGTTTTTATGTAGATTCTATATTATACTGATACTTCAAATTATGCTTAAGGACAGTAACAAAATCAGTCTGTGGAAAATAAAATCATGTGATAGATTAAAACTCAATTCTCAGTAATCTTAAATCTGGGTATCTGCAAAAGAAAATAGGGGGAGGGGGCATAGGCAGTGTCCTAAGTCATAGCCAAGATCACAGCCAACAACTGGCAGAAGCAGTCCAGTGAGCATCATAATACCTCTGCTCACCAAAAGTATAGCACTTGTCACTGCTACTGCCTCTATTGCTACTATTGCTTCCAAAACTGCTGAAAGTTTCTGCTGAAGCTTCTTTCTCTCTTGAAAAAAAAAAAAAAAAAAAAAAAGGGATTCTCCACTGCCTCTCATTTTGTGTCATTAAATCAAAATTAGAAATCTTGAGCTGATGCAGTTGGTTTGCTTGGAAAGGTCATGTTGTCACTCCTTAGACCCATGAGACCCTGGAAAATCGTTATCTACATTAGCTTTCCTTTCCACTTCTTTTGCAGGAGGACTCCCACCATGATTCATACAATGACAAATTTTCTAAATCAGTGTAGAAGATCACCATGCCAGGCAGCAGCACCTCCTCCCCTCCAAATTAATGTCCACTATGCTAGCTCACCTTCAATTTTACAAAAACTTCCAAAATATTTGAGTTTGACAACATTTACAATAAAGAAAATTTCCAGACAATTCCACATGACATCAACCTGTCAGTTACTCAGTGAAACAGTTTACTCTAGTGGTTTTTGGATATCTCTAAGGTGGCTATACTGAGGTAGCAATTGTTTACACTTATCTGAAAATTTATAGCTTATAAACACTTTTGTGGTATAGTTTAAAGATACCCAAATTTAGATTTAGAAACACCTGAGTTAGCATCTCCCTTTACCACCTAACTAGCTATACAGTGATGGAGAAATCATGAGACTCATCAATCCCTGTTCCCTCACAGAGATAATATGTGAGAATATGAGATCATAGAATTAGACACCTCTAGTTCAGTGCCTCTCAAATGATAGTCACTCAGTAATTGTAACTACAATTAAAATTGCCATTATTGTTATGATAAATACTGGCCTAGGTTCAAATGTTTGAAATTTGTTTTAAGGAGAATATTTTTCAAAAGAATGCATCTCTTTTCCCCACACTGATGCTGCTGGCTGCTCCTTTCAACTCATGTCCAAGAGAACTGGGGCTTGCACTCGAATCAACAATATAAACTATCAGTACAACTGGAACTTGTTAAAAGCCAAGTCTGAGGTGACATTGATACAATTTTTGCCAAAAGCTTACTTTAGCTCTTCAGATTTTTAGAAAGGCATTCTAATAGACAGATTAACTATTAATCTTTCTATATTTTTCAGGCTTTCATATTATATTAAGATCATTCACTGGAAAGCATAGTGCCTGACCATATTTTATAAATTCCCCACAGAAATGCTTTCACTGAATTATGAGGTAATGATCAATAATTTAAAGTCTGCACTCAGCCATTTAAAAGTCGGATGCAAGCCAGTTCCATTTGATAATGCTTGCTTTTCTTTGTCATACCATAGAAGAGAATGCCCACTCTCCGTTCATTCACCTAGTCAACAACCCAGAGTGGTTTCATTCAGCATCAAAATCATTACTAGAGATGACTTCTGGGTTAACTGACTGGATTGGGAGAGAGAATTAGCACTGGCAAAGTCAGTACTATGGCCCAGGATTTCGGTATATGGTCTGGTTTCATACTTGTGACCTTGTGAGATACATAAGGGATTCCAAAGTTTACATATGAGGGAAGTATGACAATCTACGTTATCAAGGTCTTGTAGCTAGTAGGTGACATATTAAGGAATCAAAGATTATTTTGCTATGTAGGAGGTGATAACAGGAAAAGAATATTATATTTGGACAATGTAATAAGAAGACTGGCTTGCAGGGGCACCTGGCTGGCTCAGTTAGTGGAGCATGTGGCTCTTGATCTTAGGGTCGTGAGTTCGAGCCCCACATTGGGTGTAGAGATTATTTTAATAAATAAGCTTAAAAAAAAACTGGCTTGCAAATTTAATTTTGAGGTTTCGATGGAAAGTGTTCAAAAATATTTGCAGTAATAACAGCATCTTTGCAATAAGTTTGAACCTCTCTTTGTATCTACTTTTAAGGACAATATTCTTTACATATATAAGCTTAATAATATTTGTTAGCTGTTATAGTAGATCCAAAAAATATAAGATATAAGAGGTACCTTTATTGTAATTTGAAAAGAAAAAAGACGCTTTTGATTTTGTTAATTCAGTGCTGCATAGATTCAGTTTAGCTAATGGTTAGCCCAGAGTTTTAGGTCATGTACTCTGTGAAAATTCAGTCCAAAGATTTTAAGATTGGAAAGTTCTAAAATTATAAGGTGGCAACCAATCAATATTTGGACCCATTTAAATTATTCTACCCAAGTGTCAAGGAGTGTGTGCTTTCATATTGCTACTTACAAGGAAGAATTAATGTCCACATCAACCTGTTCCATGTCTTGACAGCTATTAAAAAGTATTTTATTATTTTAAGCCAAATGTATTCTGCTGCAGCTCAGTGTTCCTAGTTCATCTTTTCTTTTTATTAAAAGTATTTAAATTTAATTTCTCTTCTACTGTGAGAATCATTGAGATATTAGTAATCAATAGTGTTCCACTTGACTCTTTTCTACTTTCAACTAACATATACTCCCTCCATTCTTTTAACTGGTCTATAGATAGTGTGATTTGAGTCTAATCAAAATTCTGATCCCATATGAAGACCCTTCAGTTTACACACAGGCTTCTCAGGTGTGGTCATGGAATGCAGCAAAATAAAGACTGCCTCCTCCATCTTCCTTCTAAACAGACAGAAGTTCTATTAGGGTTTTTTGGCAGAAAAAAAACCAGTATTGATTTATATTACAATTATTATTAAGTAAAACCCCTTGGCAGTTTTTTCTGCTGCAAAAACATACCTATTGCATTGTATAGATGGGTTGTTTTGGTTCAAATTTCAAAACCTTACATGTATTCCTATTACATATTATGCTATTAAATTTGGCCCATTATCCTAAAATATAAAATCTTACATAATTGAAAACTCATATTTACTTCCCACCTATTGTGTGCCAATCACTGTACTATGCATTTTCACCATATTATTCTACTTTATTCTTCTTTAACATGAGAAGGAATCCCAATTTTATGACTGACAGGTTCAAGAACATTAAGTAATTTTACTGACAGCACTAAGAACATTAAAACAGAATTTAGGATTTGAATGTAGGTCTATTTAATTCCAAGGTTCATGACTATTTTTGTTTATACTTGTCTATAACCATGAGTTGTTAAGAAACTACTTAATATGTATTCAAGGAATTCCATGTAAGGAATACAATTTTGAAACCTCATTAAATATTTTAAACGAAGATTCCATATTTAAAAGTAAACGTCAGTTATCTGTAGCTTGTATTTATAAATTGTACTAATTCAAAGCATTTTGACTCCCCTCAATAAAGTATGATATGTGAGGTGTGTTCAACAGGAAATAGGATGGAGAAAATCAGCAAAAGAACATATTTTTGTGTGAGAGAATAAAACAAAGTTCATGAATGGGAAATTGATACATGAAATTATATTTAATGAAAACTAACTTCAGTGGCCTGTAGGATGACTTGAAATAGGCAAAGATTTAGAACTGAGAGAAACCTGTAGAGACTACTAACACAATCCAGATATAGAATTATAAAGATGTCTACCTTCACATAGATATCTATACAGTTATTTTCAACTATGTATTTAAATACTATTTAAATACATAGTTGAAAATAATTGTAAGAAAATTATTTTGTTCAGAGGAATTGATGACACAAATTTCACAAATAATTTTCAAGGTATTAAATTTGTGTATTTGTGTGTGTTTGTTTTTACTATGGTTAAAAGGTTAAAGAGCAGTTTTGGTCATTCAGGAAAACAATGAATTTTTTTTTTACTTGTTAAAAATTGCATTATTGGTATGATTGCCACATGAATAATTGAGAGGAAGAGAGTGTTTCAGGAAATGTACTTGGTAGATATCCATGTACAGTAATTGAAACTCATTGTTTGCCTATGTATTCACCAAAAACATGAATATAACAAAAAGGAAAGGCATATTTTAAAGGATATCCGGTTAAAATTTGGGAGAAAGTACTGAGTGAGGGAAATAATCGAACTATAAGAGGAGATACAGAAGAATGGGGCCCAAAGCCAATGAAAAATGAGTTTAAGGAACAAAAGTTTAGTTAACGGTTAAATACAGCTGAGAAAGAAATAATTGGGTTTTGTTCCCCAACAATCTCTAGAACTTTAGAACTCTTTTATTATGAGGAAGAAACTGAAAAGAAGATCTCAATGAACTTACAAATAAGTATAATATCAAGTATAATAAAATCTAGTTTAACAACTCATATCTACAAAACTCGGGAATTTTCTTTGAATGTGTATATTCAGTTTGCTGCTCTCTTTCAATCATATCCTAACCATTTGCAATTGAAAATTTTTCTTTATATACACAAATTTTATATAGAACTAAAGAAAATACATTTCTTGCAGGTACAAAATTGGAAATGGCTTCCCTAGAACAAAAGGGCCTTGTCCCCTTCACCAGAGAATCTCTTGAACTTATGAAACAGCATCTTGCTAAAAAACACAGTGAGGAACAAAGAGATTTAAAGCCAAACACTGACTTGGAAGTTGGAAAAGAGCTTCCATTTGTTTATGGGAATCTCTCTCGAGGAATGGTGTTGGAGCCCTTGGAAGATGTGGATCCATACTATAAGAATAAAAATGTAAGGCTTTATTGACCGACTACATTTTCATTATTTTTTTCAGAAGTATGAAAAGTATAATTGAGATATGATTAAAAAAGAATGAAAAGTAAGTCAAAGTTATTTTAAGTTGTAAAAAAATGGATAAGAAATTTCACAAATATTTAGGATTTTTATCAAATCTGATGGCTTTCCTGTTAGGTTAGTTTGTTGGAAGTTACTCTACTTTTAATAGGCTATACTGTGATGCCTTAATGTAAATGACTTGTTTTGTGGGAGCATGTTGACTGGCTACTTAAGGTTACTGATTTTAAAAGAACTATAATATAAAATTTTTATAATATGTACAACAATTTTAAATGTTCAACTGAATAAGCTTATTCAGTAGTTGAGAAAATAAACCAACCTATATTCCTATATTTTATTTACCATTTTTATTAATTCATACATTCACATCCTATCTTATCCTGGGAATGACTTGAGGAGCAAACTAAGTATTTGAACAATTCCAAAACAAGCACAAAAATGATGAAAATAAGAATAATTATGCTTAGTAAAACCAGAGATCTGTGTGGGTTGACAAAGCTGGAAGAGTCTTCCTTAAGAAAATAGAATTTGAATTACAGCTTGGAGAACACTTCACATTTTAACAGTGCAAAGGGAAGATCTTGATATTAGTTGGAATAGAGAAGAGACAGGGTATGATAGAACTCTACCCTTATTGCAAGTGTGGGAAATGAAAGAATGAGGAAGTGAAGATGCCAACATGGATTTAACATGATGGCCAAAAGGATGTGATGAATGCAATGTTTAAGTAAGTTTAATCTAAGACTTCTAAATTACTATTGCATAGAAAAGCTAGGGTCAGAAAGATGGTATAAGAAACAGAGTAATCGACACCTGAAGTCAAGAAACCTGATTATAGGAGGGTCTTGGAGGAGGGAAAAATGTAGCAAACCTGAGAAGAAACAACAGGATTTGAAGACAGACTAATAATCCAAAAATTTCTAACCTGGAATAATGGTGGTGCTACTTATAAAATTGAAATAATTCTAAAAAAGATTAAGCTTGGGAGATATGAAGATTAGCTCTGTTGTGGACAAATGTAATTTGATATTCATAATATTACCAAATGGGCAAAATGGAATTGAACCAAAGTCTCTGGACGGGAGACAAAGTGATGATTTTGCATAAACATAACTCTTTCAAATATTTTGCATGATGGAAAAGTATTGGCATTGTAAATGTATTTATTAACAAAGACTCCAGTATCTCTTGTAGCTTCCATGGGCATTATGTAACATTAGCTGTAAAACACCTGTAAAATCTTCAGAATATTTTAGTGAAAACGTAAGTTGTCATCTCAATTATCTCTGTTTTCACTTTTGCTATGCTTAAGTCCTAATAGTTGACTTAGCATAATAACCTTAGAAGTAACTCTAATCTAGCAGAGTTCTGAGTTCTTTGTAGTGTTTACAGATATGGTAGGCAAATCTAAGTTTGTTATTGAAGACAAAACCAAGGATTTTGAAAAATGAAACATGCCAAAAATTGTAAGGATAGTTTGTATAAGAAGTATTAATATTAATGATGATACAAAGTATTAAAAATGTGAATTATATTCAGTTTATTCTGTTAAGGGTGGCATACCAACAAATAATCCTAAAATTAAATAATTTTAGCACTTAAACATTAACTGGAAAATTGTTATGTCTGGAATCACTCATTTCTTCACAAAAACATAGGCTAGTTGATTGCACATATATTACCTCTTTTTTTTAAGATTTATTTTTTTATTTCAGAGAGTGAGGGAGAGTGAAAGAGCGTTGGGGAGGGGAGGAGCAGAAAGAGTCTTAAGCAGACTCCACGCTGAGCGCAGAGCCTGACCCTGGGCTCGATCTCCCAACCCTGAAATCAGGACCTGAACCAAAATCAAGAGTCAGATGCTTAACCAACTGCACCACACTGGTGCCCCATACATACATTACCTCTTGTAAGAATATTGATATTCTTCTGGGAAATAACAAAAAGCACATTTTAAATAATCAGATTTTGGGGAACTCTTTTATTTTATTTTTGCATTTGAAATGGAAAGAGGGAAAATAACTATAATACATGCCAAAATGTCCACAGACTGTATATTGGAAAAGTGTTTTAGTGAGAATTATAACACAGTTGGTTTCCATTTAGAACATGTTTTCATAAATTATCAATGGATATATAATTGTTTTCACTAATATATTTATATATGTAGACAAAAATATAAATGCCAATATACAGTCACCATAGATACCTCTAATATATAATTATATATCACATATAATATACTTTATATAATAGATTATACTTATACATATATCATTTAGTATACTGTATTGTATCATATTACATTGTATACTATATATTATACAATGTTATATTATAATGGGCATAATATCATGTATAATGTATTTTTACTCACACCATCATAAATGAATTTTCCAAATGGATATGTATATATGGTAAAAGTGTATATATGATGTATACACACATACATACATAGGTAGATACATTTTAATTTCTTTTTTTAACTTTTTTAAATATTTTTTAAAGATTTTATTTATTTATTTGACAGAGAGAGAGAGAGATCACAAGTAGGCAGAGAGGCAGGCAAAGAGAGAGGAGGAAGCAGGCTCCCTGCTGAGCAGAGAGCCTGATGTGGGGCTCGATCCCAGGTCCTTGGGATCATGACCTGAGCCTAAGGCAGAGGCTTTAACCCACTGAGCCACTCAGGCGCCCCTTTTTTTTTTTTTTTTTAAGATTTTATTTATTTACTTGAGAGAGATAGAGGGATCACAAGTAGGCAGAGAGGCAGGCACAGAGAAGGGGGAAAGCAGGCTCCCTACTGAGCAGAGAGCCCGACGCAGGGCTCGATCCCAGTACACTGAGATCATGACCTGAGCTGAAGGCAGAGGCTTAACCCACTGAGCCACCCAGGTGCCCTGACACTTTTTAATTTCTATATTATATTATAGATACACACATACATATGTACACATGTACATGTATAAGTCATTTTTAGGATATTTCTGATCTTTCATTCGTTTTGGATTTAATGCGTCTGTATCCCAATATATTAGTTTTACGTGATGTAACTTTCATTTTTAGGTATGTTTGTGTCAATGATAACATATAAATGGGGTTTTATATCTTAGATAATTACTAGTGATTAGTAAAATATCTTAGTGAATGGGGTCATTTTTGCTGTTGTAATCACACACATTTTTTGCTTTGAAATAAAAGTAATTTTTTTTATATTCACTAAATTTGGGTTTCTTTAAATGTATCTTCATGAGCCATTAGGATATAGATTTCTTCCTATTACATTTGTTCTGCAGGAAGACTTGAGGATTGGAGTGTGGCAAATGGCTTTGTTAGGCAGAACATTGGAAAACAAAAAGTTATATAATCCTAAATATCAGTGAAAATGTTTAAAAGAAGAAATCTTTCCACTTGATTTAGTCTGTAAAACAATATCAAAATATAAGAAAAGTGTAACAGCTAAAATTCAGTTGAAATGATCATTGGCAATAATTTGCATAATGGATGAGTTTATAGTTCCTAGTTGTAATTTTACTTGATTTTTTTTTCATTTTATAGACTTTCATGGTATTAAATAAAAGTAGAACAATCTTCAGATTCAATGCCACGTGGTGTACACTTTCTCCTTTCAATTCAGCTAGAAGAACAACGATTAAGATTTTGGTGCATCCATATCCTTTTCTGTTGGCTTTAGACTGTACCAGTATCACATGTGACTATTCTATTCAAATATTGCTGTAGTGTTTTTCTCTTTTGAATTATATCTCATTTTAGGTCATATTGGAATCTGGATTACAACTGCACCAAGTGTTCCATATTTGAAAATACATTTATAGTATATTTTCTAGTATATTCAACAGTAATAAATATTAACAAATCTTAATCCTCCTTGTTTTTCAATATGAATATTTAAAGAGTTATTTTATCTCATGTATATACATATAAACCTGTTAAAGAAACATATATTTCCAATATTATTTTATCCATTATTCCTTGACTGTAACTTACCTTTTTTCGACTATTCATTTTAATTAGCGTCCTGATTGACTGCATATTTATGTCCATGACTGAGATGCCAAAATGGGGCCCAGCAATACAGTAAGTCATATAATTTTATTATACATTATTTCACATATGATTTTATATATTTAACATGTTGCATTATAGTACTTTATATACTACATATTTAACATTTTATAACTTATTATTTATATTTAATATATAATATTCCTTGTAATAAAAACTCATTCTTCATAAGATAATATTTATACATATAACACAGTTTATGGATTTTCCAAGTAAAAATAAATCACATATATATCAGTTAATAAATTTTAATGTTTTTCTGCCCTTTCGTTTATTCTTAGTTGGACTTTAAATGCTGCTATTTCCCGGGGCGCCTGGGTGGCTCAGTGGGTTAAAGTCTCTGCCTTCAGCTCAGGTCATGATCACAGGGTCCTGGGATTGAGCCCCGCATGGGGCTGTCTGCTCAGCAGGGAGCCTGCTCCTCCCGCCTCTCTGCCTACTTGTGATCTCTCTCGCTATCAAATAAATAAATAAAATCTTTAAAAAAAAAAAAAAGCTGCTGTTTCCCAGCATGTTATGTCAACATAATATAAAAGTTTGATTATTTAGCTAAATGTTTGTGTCTATATGAGGTTTTAGTATAAAGTTAATTAGTAATGATTAATATATTATTTCAGTGCCTCAGCTTTTCTTTACTATTGCAATTCCACACTGGATTTGCTTTAAACTCAAGTAACATTTATTCTTTTCCATTCTAAGAAAGTTATTTCTATTGCTTTCTTTCTGTTCTATTTCTTCTCTCTTTCTAGAGGGATGTGAATAGTTTGGATATTAGACCAAAATAGTGGAAAGGCCCATTAAAATTTCTAGAGAAGAAGCTTTTCTTTTTATTTTATTTTATTTTATTTTATTTATTTTATTTTATTTCATTTTATTTTATTTATGTATTTGAGAGAGAGGTGAGCATGAGCGGTGGTTAGGGGCAGAGGAAAGGGGAGTAGACTCTCCCACTGAGCAGCCAGGGGTGGGGCTCCATCCCAGGATCCTGGGAAAATGACCTGAGCCAAAGGCAGATGCTTAACTAATTGAGCCACCACCCAGCCTCCCCAAGAAGAAGCCTTTCTTGATGCTACCTCTTAGGTTTTAATTCATTCTTAAAACTAGTTAATTTTGGAAGGTGAATATAAAACTGATTCATTACAAAAATTCTTACATATACACATAATAAAATTAGTTCTTTCATACTTTTATAATTCAGTAAATTATTGTGTGATTTCCAATGCAGAGTAAATTTGATATTTTATATTTTCATTATTTACCAAAATATATGTAAAGACAATGACTCTAGCTAGGGCTTGTTGAAAAAAAAATTGATAGTTAAATTTTATGGTTAATGTTATAAGACATAGCCCACCCTAAAAGCCCTACTTTGTGGTTCAAGGAGCATAGATTTTTTTTTTTTTTCCTAACTGGTTGGTGGATTGGTTGGTTGACTGGTTGGTTGCCAAATAGTAACCATAGACATATTATTTCAGAGTTGGCAATGCATTATTCTCACTTTTAATGTTTATATGAAAAATTTTCTGCAGGAATATTTTGCTTGGAATTTACACATTTGAAATACTTGTAAAACTCATTGCAAGAGGCATCTGGGCAGAACCTTTTTATTTCTTTGGTGATCCATGGAACTGGCTCGATTTCAGTGTAACTTTGCTTGAGTGAGTATTTCTTCAAATTGCAAACATCTTAATACCTTGTTAAGGAAGCTTTTCATAAAGAAACATCAGCATTTGCAAAGTTTTCTCCTTGTAAAAATTCTGCAAACAAAGAATATTTCATAATCATAGCCATAATGACTCTCAGGCAGCTCCAACTGAACTAGCCCTCAGAATGTGCAATAAAAATGAAAGGAATTAGATATTATCTGTTTTCTATCTGAGGCAAAACAACAGAGGTTGAATTTTAGAATTTTAAGTGATGATTTTCAGTGCTAAGTAGGTCTCTTGGAGACTTACAAGAAGATCTGAGTATGTTTGATTTTATCTCCAACCTACATTTTGTTTAGCTACATTATTTAAGACCAGTAAACACTAGATAACAGAATATCTTACACACACACTCATGCACATACAGACACACATTTTCAAGAATGTTACATTAAATTCTAATGATTTACATGAGTATTTTTTCAGTGTTTCTATTTGGTATACTCTGTTCTATGGCTAAGGAAATGATCACTGGCTCCAAACTCCTGTTAAATATAAGTTAAAATGATATTCCATTTTTAGGTTTGGGGTTGATTTTTTAAAACAACAAATAATCTTCATAAAGCACATAATCAGTGTCTGCCATGTTGTAAGCAATAAAAATTAGTAGCTAATATCATTGAAATTATTATCACTACTACTGATTACTACCATTATCATGCTGTTGCCTTTGCTGGTAGCTAATACTTAGCTAACACAGTTATTATGTAACCCCACGTGTCAGGTGCTAAGCCATGCTCTTTACATCTATGAGTTGTTTAATCACCACAAAAAGCCTCAGCATTAGGAACCGTTATCCTCACTTTAATTTGAAGAAACTGAGGCAAGAAGGAATCAGTAATTTTTCCATGTGACACAGCTAGTAACTTGGGAGCCTGGATTTGTACATAAGCATTCTGGCTACAGTCTGTGCCCTTAACCACTCTACTCCCTGCCTTCAGCTATCTTCACCATCGTCAACCCCATCATGATTATCTTCATCATGATCATCAGCAGAAACTTAACTACTTAATCTCATTGCTTAAAAAACTATGGATTTTTCCAATTTTTAACTACCTCTTAACTGATTAGATAACAAAATATTTATGAACATAATATAGGGTATTTGGTATAGAATGATGACTAATCACAGTGTCAAGCTTTTTATAAACAGTCATAATTTGTTTGTGGGTTAATATTTACCTAGCTACCTTGCACTGTAGCAATTTTTGTCTTCCAATCAATAAAGCAACTATTTGTGAAATGGAACAATGAGAGCAAGGGAAATGTGTGGATATGTGGTTTTAAAAATAAGTTTTAAATAGTCAGTGATAAGCAGCATAGACTTAGTATGACTTCTAATAATTCTAATTTAATCCCACAGGCACATAACAAGATACTTACTTCTTGGCTCAAATACTATAATATTTAGTATTTCAAGAAATTTGAGAATTTTGAAAATTATTTCCCTAAACCAAGGTAAGAAATGGCATTTAGTTCTTGTCTTCATTTTGATTTATGTTCTACCCTGTATTCTTTTGAACTCGCCTGTAACTGCTTGGAGAAATACTAAATTGAACAGTGTTTCATCTTTGAAGTCAGTGAATTATCTGATCTGTAAGTTTATTTCAGTCACTCCAGGAAAGCCAAAAAAAAAAAAAATCACATTCGACTGTTATTTATTCGAGATGGATTCAATTCTTAATGATAAAATAAAGAAATTAACCAAAATATATTATTTTCTATTTTTTCTTATTTATCCTTGCCTCTTAAATATGAACTTACAAAATTGTCCTTAGACTTCTGAGAGAGATAGCAATCTAGACAGGTACCTAATATGCCTTCTTTTCCTCACTGTATCTAAAAACCAGTTGAAATGAACAAAGTAATATAAAATAAGATAAATTCCATTTTGCTCTGAGTGCTTGGATAGGTTGCATTCACATGCCACAGAGTTAAAGGAGGTTCTGCTAAATAAGGTAGAGCTGTGAACACATTGATGGAAGATGCTAATTTACAGCTCCCGTTCCTGAAGATATCCTAGAGAAGCCCATCAACAGCTTTTAATTTGTGTTAAGAATGAATAAAAACAATCCAGTATGAAACAACTCCATTAGTGTTTTGGCTGCTGAGTCAGCAGTATGAAATAGGGGGGCCAATAAACCCAGAGGCAAGTGTGAGAATACCAAAAATGAGATCTACAGATGATTTTTGTCCATTGGAATACCATGAAGAAAGCCAGATATATGCATACTATACACTTGGAGTCTAGATTGGGCAAAACAGTAAAAAGATTAGAGAGTGTGGTGATGGATGATACATAGCCATGTGGATATATTAAAACACTGAACGGTACACATTAAATGTGTGAATTGTATGATTTATGACTTACAGCTCGATAAAGCTGTTTAACAAAAATGGTCCATGCATGGCAGCTTCACCAAACCCAGTGAAGAAAGTGGCAGTGAGAGTGGCAGTGATAGGACTTCCCACAGTTCTACCTCCCTTACTACTCTCCACAAATTACTAGAACATAAAATTGCATCACCTGTGTCTTCATCTTAGGCTCAGAGGTGAAGATTATAGAAGAAATCAGGTGAATCCAAATTAATACAAGAACAACATATCTTAGTAGACTTAGAAACACACAGGCTGATAGAAATTTCTCTTTTTCCAAGGGAGAAAGTAATCAACAGAGATACCAGCAATATAGAGCATATGAAAGTATTTTGCAATACCAAAAGGGAAACATACTATTTAAGAAAATAAAAATAATCCTCTTTTTTCTTTGAAAAAATATGTCCTAAGGAATAGGAGCAAGCATAAGAAGTCATCCTTTTTGTAGTGCCTTCAAGATTTTATTTATTTATTTACTTATTTACTTATTTATTTATGAGAAGGCACAAGTTGGGAGAGAATCAAAGTGGGAAAGAATCTCACACAGACTGCACTGAGCTCCACATGGGGCTTCATCCCACGACACTGAGATCATGACCGTGAGATCTTGACCTGAGCAGAAACCAAGAGTCCATGCTTAACTGGTTGAGCCACCCAGGTGCCCCTTTTGTGAAGAAAACCTGGACTCAAGCAAAAGATGAAAATTATATAATGAAATAGACAAAAGCACCTATTAAGCAAAAAAGTGTTAATACCCAGGACAACTGTGTGATGCGGTCAGTTAAGCATCTGACTCTTGGTTTTAGCTCAAGATCATGAGCTCAGGATCATAAGGATCATGAGCTCCATGCTCTGCGGGGAGTCTATTTGAGCTTCTCTCTCTCCCTCTGCCCCTCCCCCTGCTGCTCTCTCTCTTTCTCTTTCTAAAACAAAAATAAATAAATAAATAAATAAATAAATAAATAAATCTTTTAAAAATTTATATCTTTGGTGAGTATTTTATGGTAATAGATGCATTAAAATATGGTACTATCTCTTTAGTATTACGGCTTAGTAAAATAAAACCAGTTGTGTAAGGAGAAACTAGAGAAATTCTATATTAATACAATAGAACAAAAATGGATGGGTTAACGAAAAAGAGAAAACTAAGTTCCACCTTATGGATAGTTGGTGACCCCAAAAAAGAGACCAAAATAAGTGTAAAAGATACATTAGAAAAAATACATTAGAACATTTTTTTTTAAAGTTTAACTTGAGATTTTTGTCACAAATGGAGAAGGTTCATTTTATAGTAGACAAAAAAATCTGAAAGATACACTTAGATATATTATAACATTTTTTAATTTAAGTTTTAAAAAATAAGTATATTATAAAAATCCTATGAAAAAGCAATGAAAAATTACCTATGAAATGTTATTTTTAGACCTCTTGATAATACTGAAATTAAATAGGCAGTGGAATTTGAGCTTGGGCAAGGTGTAGGCAGGAAGATTATGACATCAGTGTTCTATACCTGTCTGTCATCCATATGTGAAGCTGATAGGAAGATATTCACAGCCAAGCAAGAGTTCTGAAATTTTATGTATGTATCTTTCCTGAACAACTGGTATGAAAAAAAAAAACTCAACAATGGGAAGATTTAATATCAGAACTAATCATAGTGAACTCTGAAATCATTTCAACACAGAATGAATTCCAAATTACTGATAGTATGCAAAACAGAATGCAAATATTACAACCCAAATTAATAACAGACATTCCTAAACTAGAAACATATTTTGTGTTTCAGAACACTTTGAAATAGATAACAAAATTGTTTTAGAAAACTAGTGATTTTTAACATTAGAATCTAAATTAATTTGGATGAATTCTCACATCTACCCACCAGCATTCTTTTTTTTTTTTAGATTTTTGTTTATTTACTTATTTTTATTTTTTTTTAAGATTTTATTTATTTATTTGACAGGCAATGATCACAAGTAGGCAGAGAGGCAGGCAGAGAGAGAGAGAGAGGAGGAAGCAGGCAGAGAGAGAGAGAGAGGAGGAAGCAGGCTCCCCGCGGAGCAGAGAGCCTGATGCGGGGCTCGATCCCAGGACCCCAGGATCGTGACCTGAGCCAAAGGCAGCGGCTTTAACCCACTGAGCCCCCCGGGCGCCCCCCCACCAGCATTCTTGCATGATAACTACAGCTGTAGTTGAGGAACAGCTACTCCTTTAAATCAGGCATATTCATCCAGGTCCCCTCTGCTCCCCTTTTGCATGAATTTGTGTTTCCTGACAAGCCATTGTAAGGATTTGAATGTTAACCTTTCCTGTAAATCATGAAAAATAATATGTAATGGAAAACATACAAATTGAGCCCTTAACTTGGTCAGAAGTACTAAATTATATTAACAAAAACTGAGAAGGGGGAATAGAGAGATGTGAGACAGTAAATATGGTTATTTCTTTATCTTACATTGTGAAACTATAGTACATAAGTTTTATTTTTTCTGTAGAGGGTCCAAGTTTGTTCCAATAAGAACTTAAGTTTGATACAGTTTCTCAAAATATAGTTTACCTTAAGCACTAGAGGAAAAAGGAGAAAAAGTAAAGCTTATTTTTGAAAGATAAGACATGTAAGGGAAATATATAAATCAAAAAACAAAATGGTAATGTCATATCCAAAAATAAAGGCAGTTTATGAAAATAAATACAATTATATTAATTTTTTCTGTCAAGATATAGAACTTTAATATTAAATCTTAAGTAAATCAAACTCCACAAAAGATATACCTAAACTAAAGCAAAATGAAAGCTTAAAAATAAAAAGAATGGGAGCTTGGTTATGTGTGTATGTATGTCTATATACACATGTGTATGTATGTATATCACATTTTCACATGCATATATTTTTATTTAAGAATTGTTGTTCTAAAATAATTCCAACAGGGGTAGCTGGGTGGCTCAGTCTGTTAAGCAACCGACTCTTGATTTCAGCCCAGGTCATGATCTCATGGACGTAAGATAGAGCCCCACATGCATCTGGCTCCAAGCTCAGTGGGGAGTCTGCTTGAGATTCTTTCCCTGTCCCCTGCTCCTCCCCAGCAGCTTACACACACTCTCTCTCTCCTTCTCTCACATAAATAAATAAATCTTTAAAAATAATAATTCTAGCAAAACATTGTGAAAAAATTTTCAATAGAAAAAAATTTACAGAGAACGAAAACTAATATAACACTGTGTGTTAATTATACTTCAATTAAAAAAATACAAAGAACTCATGACAGTTGCCAAATGAAAAGTCATATAAAATATACATGTTTTGAAAGTTCATTATAGTAAGCACAGAAATTACAAAGTAAAGTGATCCCATTTTTCTTCTAATAAATTGGCAACAAAGTTTTTTAAACATCCCAGTTTTAATGAAGGCTTGACTATGTATTTATAGCTTTAGTTTATATATTGGTTCAACATCTCTTAAAAACAAATTGAACATAAATGTATTAATACATATAATATGATACGGAAATTCTATTTTTAATGTAATACTTTAAAAAAAGACTTGGATATAACAAAATAAAATAAATAAAAACATATAATATATGAATAAAAACACAATAATATATGAAGCAGGTATTATTAGCCACATTTTAAAGATACTAAAACAGAAGCATAGTAATATTGATAGAATCACAGCATTAGTACATTCTTATCCACTGTTAAGCTGAACAGTTATTAGGATCCTAAATATAAACAGACCAACAAATAAGAAGAGCAAGGGAAAAAAGAGAAGGAAGGAAGGAAGGTTAATACTAGTTTTATTGATGAAGTTACATTATTTATATTATTTTTGGTTTTTGTTTCTTTTTTTTATGTTTCCAGAATTAAGCTTTTAAAAAACATTGAATTGCCATTGACACCCAGTGTTACATTAATTTTAGGTATACAATATGGTGATTCTACCTGGCTGTCTGTTTTGCCATGCTCACAAGTGTAACTAACATTATCAACATGCAATGCTCTTACAATACCACTGACTATCTCCCATGCTGTACCTTTCATCCCGTGACATTTTTTCCAATACTGGAAGTCTGTACCTCTCACTGCCCTTTACTCATTTTGTCCATGTCTCTGCTCTGGCAACCACCAGTTTGTTCTTTATTTATGACTCTGTTTATGATCTTTTTATTTGTTCATTGGTTTACTTTTTAGAACCTACATATAAATGAAATCATATGGCATTTGTCTTTGTCTGTCTGACTTACTTCACTTAGCACAATATACTCTAGATCCATCCATGTTGTCGCAAATGGCAAAACCTTGTTCTTTTTTATGTATGAATTATATCCTATTAAATATGTAAATGACATCTCTTTATTCATTCATCTGTGAGTGGACACTTAGGTTGCTTCCGTATATTGGCTGTTGTGAAAAATGCTGCAACTAACATAGGGGTGCATATATCTTTTTGGATTCATCTTTTCTTTGGATAAATACCCGAGTGTAATTACTGCATTTTATGGTAATTCTATTTTTAATTTTTTTTTGGAACCTCCATCCTGTGTTCTACAGTAGCTGCACCAATTTACATTCTCACCAGCAGTGCATGAGGATTTCTGGAGCAGGTTTTATTTAATAAATAGAAAAATTAGTTCCTGAAGTAAAAAGACAGATTTAAGGCTGAATTCTCAATTAGTAAATGTTCTAATGTAAATACAGTCTACAGATACCACAGTTGTGTGTTATTCTCATTCTTAATTCAAAGTTGTACATGTTTTGTTTAATCAGCTCCAAAAATTGAATTCTTAAAAAGTTAGTGAAAGAATAGTATAAAATACTGCTATTTCAAACCATTTCTTGTTTCAACAACATTTGTAACCTATTTTGATTTATAACTCTATACTTATGCTTATAAACGGTGGTGGTTGGTATGAAAAGCAGTAACCAAGAGAAAAGTCTTGTTCTTTATAGCAAAGAAAAACAAATAATTAATTTTAAAATTTGTGCTTGGATTATTTTAACAAGTGTAATAAGCTAGCAATAATATAGAAACCTTAAAGTTCAGATTTTTATTTATTTTTTATTCATTTTACTTATTAGATGTAGATAATGGATGGTTTAGATTATGAAACATAAGCTGTTGATTTCAGCGGAGTATGCATTTACCATGGAGGAATTGTGCCAACAGCTGCTTTACTAAGATATTTTACTTTATCAAAAACAAACCTTTTTCTTTTTAGGTCTGAAGTCTTTCACAGGGATCCTCATCCACTGCTTGAAGAAACTTACTGGAGTCATTTCCCTAACTCTGTTTTTTCTGACTGTATTTTCTTTAATTGGGATGGGGCTCTTCATGGGCAACCTGAAGCATAAGTGTTTGCGATGGCCCCAAGAAAACGAAACTGCAACCCTGCACAACAGAACTGAAAATCCATATTATATGCGAGGTAAGAATCACTTGCCATCTATGTCAAAAAAGTTAAGATTTTTCTCTGCAACGGAGCGGACTTCACAGTAGTGTTGAACACTCAACTGCAGAAGGAACTTGCATATGCTCTAACTATGCTCAAGTACTTGCTTTTTGAAAGTTCACATGTTGCCACTTAGCTTTTACCAAAGACCTACATGAATACTTGTTTTTGGTAACCAAAGGAAATCTGAAGATGATTTTTGCTTTTACGAAAAAGACTAAAAGTAAAAATAGCATTCAGGGTTTGCTTTGCAGCAAGCCATTATAAAGGTAGCCTGCGTCCCCGCAGGGAGAAGGGCACCACCAGAGCGCCTTCCCCTGGAACCCCGCTCAGCCTTCCAGCATCAAGCCAACATAGCTTTGAATTGAGACAAACCTGTGCTTTTTGTCAATTTATTTTGTGTGTCTGTTAGCAAGATGTGTCCTGATGTATCAGAAAAGCTGAAGAGAGGTTATATTTGGGGCCTGGGAATGCCCACAAATTTTTCCCTATAAACTAATGGTAATTACTTCTTTGCTTTATGCCATTTCCCTTCACAAAAGGTTTCATTAGGAATGTTCTACTTTTGGATGTCGGAGGAAACCTGTGCTGATTTGGATCAGTTTCATTTATCAGAATTGCAATTCAAAGTTCCAATCTTCAGATAGTTCAGTGAGGAAGACCTAAGTTTGAAATTGTTAAGTTTTGCAAATTTTATCCTTTAAAAAATAAATATGACCAGAGTCTTATTTGCAGTTTTATCAAAATAAAATCCTCGTAATAGTAACTTTCTTCAATAAAGTTGTTTATTTAAAATATAAATTTAAGTTTACTCATTAGAAATTTTAAAATGACCCTGTAAATAAAAAATAGACTACATTATAGAAATTTTCAGTATTGTTGGATTTCAGTTACTGCTGCTCATTTTAAATGTTTTGAGTTATCTTTTGGTAAATAATAAACATACTTCAGGCAAATAGTAATAATGCCAGAATAAATATTGCTCTGCTCCTTCATATAAGTAACACATATGTCTGATCACATATCTTCACTGTAACCCTGCAGAGAAGTGAATGACCCCGCTTACAAACAGAAAAAATGGAAGTTCAGAGAAATTCAGTGAATGTTCCCGTATATTGTAACAACTCAATGATAAAACTAGGATTCTAACCATCCCAATCTGGCTTTCAAACCCATTCCTTCTCCACCGGGTTATACTCTCTTACTGGATTTTTCACTCATATTAAAATTATCGGGTCTTTCTTAAAGTGTTTAGAAAAATATAAAAGCATATTTTTAAACTAATAAAAGTAAATTGTTGTTAAGTCTTATGTAGTCCCCTACATTAATTTTATTTGTATTTGGATATAATAAGTTCCCAAACAAATCTTAATGAATTTTACTCCTTATTTTACCCCATAATATCATTATGCTGCAAGTAATACAAAATTATTGGTATATGAGTATGTGAAATATTTCCTTATTAAGTGTGTCTACCTCATGGTCTTCATTCTAGTGGTGAGGGCAATAGAAAAATGGATGTTAAATCTTAGATTCCAATTGAAATACTCTTTGGTTTCTTTAGTTATAACAAAAAATATACAAATTATATAAAAAGTAAACAATTTTTACTACTTCACAATAATGAAGTACTTCAATATAGTGAATACCAATAGTTATTGCTGGAAAAAAAAATCCAGGTTCTTTTCATCTTAGTTAAAGTGTAAGTTATATTATAAAGAAATCACTTTTTTAAGTTTACAGCTTTAAAATTTGTCCAATTCTAGTCATTCCATTTCCTCTAAAAACATGTTAGGACTTGCTGAAAATATTATATTTATAAAATGTTATTTAACCTAATTGCCATGTCAAAGTCTTTGTATTTTAGAACAATATTTGGGACAGTCCTCAACTACTAATGTTGAATTTCATTTGGATTTTGACTGCCATTTAAAAGGCTTGACCAGTGGTTCCTAACTATGATTTAAAACTTCTTCTAGGGGCACCTGGGTGGCTCAGTGGGTTAAAACCTCTGCCTTCCACTCAGGTCATGATCCCAGAGTCCTAGGCTTGAGCCTCACATCGGGCTCTCTGCTCCCTGGGGAGCCTGCTTCTCCCGCTCTCTCTGCCTGCCTCTCTGCCTACTTGTGATCTCTGTCTGTCAAATAAATAAATAAATAATTTAAAAAAAAACCTTCTAACATTATTTTAGGTAAAGTTAAAGTGACATCATTTGGCATTGTAGTAATTCAGTTTTGTGTGTGTACATATGTATATGTATATAATTTTATATATACACACATACATTCAGGACTGATCTCATGTGTTGGAGCTGTGATTTGAGTTCAGAACCTAAAATCAATACTTCTAAGCATGTATGTTCCCACTCCTGGTAGTTCATATCTGTAAATACAAAATTTACATAGTGAATGACAGCAGATAAGGATACCTGAATAAATTCTATGGGCTATGATTCAGATTCGTTGGGATTATGGTTAGATTAAATGATACCAGGGTGAGTAACTGACACTGGATGCTCAATATAGAAAAGTAAGCTTCAACATGGGAAGAGAATGGTATTTAAATGCAGAGACAGAAATATGGTCTCATGTTAAGGAATATCATTAGGAATAAAGTCTGGAAGAAAAGGTCTCAGCTTTCACTTTGGTCTTGGGAATTTTTCCTTCAGGGTTCTGGTCATACCTGACTGGTTAATATTTCCTTCCCAGAACTCTAGTTTTGAAAGCGATTCTCCTCTTTTTATGCTGGGTTTTGTTTCTTTTGGGACGGTGTAGTAGGTAGATTGCCAGACATCTTTTGGTCTGTGCATTACATGTTAGGACAATCTTGTAGATAAGAAAGGGTGGGCTATATGTTCCTTCCTTTTCAGTATAGAGAGAGATGTTCATATTCTATGCAGATCTAAATGGATATCAGATATGCTCTTCACTCAAAATTAGATAACAGAATATATTTCTTTCCTATTTTGCAGAAACAGAAAACTTTTACTATTTGGAAGGAGAAAGATATGCTCTCCTTTGTGGCAACAGAACAGATGCTGGGTAAGTGGTGTTAATGTTCTTGTATCAGTCAGGATCATAGATCCATAGTATTTATTGAATGATTAATGCTTTGGCTGATGTTTCTCATTTGATTACATTATCTCATTTTGTCATTAAAACCATGCTGAGAAATATACAACACGGAATACTATTACCCTGATTTTACAGGAAAAAGCAATAAACAGACTACTTAAATGATTTATTCAAGGTCATGAAGTGAATAAATGGCAAAGCTGGGACTTAAATAAGGATCTGATTTTTTGTTTTCTGTGTACCCCAGAGCTAGTGGGAATTATCAAGAGAGATGATATAATCTTTTCTTGGTCCAGAAGCCTTTGAAGAGAAGAAATAGGAAATATATGCTGTTATTTCATTTATTTTATGGCTTGTATATATTTTATGACAAAATTTACATTAATAAAAAGTTTATTGCTCTTAGAAATAGTACTTAAAATAACTATTCAATGATATGACAACACTCTCAAGTTTTACTGTCATATAATTTCAAATGAAGAGAAAAGAAAGTAGAAATATAGTGCTTCTCAGCAGTACTAGCACTTTGCTGTAATTCCTTATGTTACTTACATCAGCTGGAAGTGATGTGGTGCCCATCTGTAGGGTCAGCTCTTTCTTAGGCTCTACGGCTCAGATTAACAAAAATCATGTGGGGGTAAAGGAGCATGAATTATGTAGTTTATATATTCACGTGATTTAGACATTTTGTCTCTTGCTCAACGCTGCCCAGCACAAGTACATTTTAAACCTCTCTTTGCATCACATTTGTTAACTATTAAAATTCTAAAACAAGTCACATGGCCAAAGCCAGAATAACATTGGAGGAAACTACACAGGGTATGGATGGAGGGAAGCATGATTTATGTGGCTACAACTGTAATAACCAATCATAATATTCAAGCCCCCAGAAGATAAAGTATGAAGACTCCATGAAAGGAAATAAGATAAATCTTTAATCTGATCTTTCTACCATTGTGCAAATACTGATTATAAGTTATCAATGTGTAAGTGTTTTCTCACCCTTAAATAATGGGACCCAAGGGCTTAAGGTGAGACATTTGAAAATTAAACCCTCAATGACTGAAGCTTTGTTTTATGACAGTTATTCCCATTATGTATGCTTTCACCTTGATGCTGATAGCAAAGAAAACTTCAACAAGGCTTGGCAAAAAAACATTGGTGAGACCCTTTTCCTTTTAGATTAATTAACACTGTTCACTTGTATTAACTTAAAATCTACCTCATTTGCAGCTTTTTCACTGGGCTTTGTTTAGACTGTTCCCTGTGGAAGAAAGAACTCTTTATTATTCATAGGTGGATATTCTGTATTTATGATTTGGCCTGTAATCTGAAAGTCACTTAAGAGTAAGCAGTTTCTCTTCTCTTTGTCTTCTTTAGTCAGTGTCCTGAAGGATATGTGTGTGTGAAAGCTGGCACAAATCCTGATTATGGCTTCACAAATTTTGACACTTTTGGCTGGGCCTTACTTGCCCTGTTTCGGTTAATGACGCAGGATTACCCTGAAGCACTTTATCATCAGGTAAGAACAGAATCTACACGGCACAAAAAATGGTATCATGTCCCTACCTTCTAAAATAATGGTCAGATGTACCACGATTTATTAAATTTCTATGGGGAGAAGAATTTGAGGACAGAAGAAAAGAGAGTCAGAATTACTGAAAGTCAAACTGTATGCTAACTCTGTGCCCAAGTCTGTGCCTTTATGTATATCTCATTTAATCTATGAAACAATCCTGCAAGACCTATCGGTATCTGCTTTTTATGTGAAGACACTAAGATCAGAGTGGTTGGGTAACCTCTCCAAAGTTACAACACATGTATCTTCTAGAGATCACTGCCCTGCTGTATGATATCACACATTTGATATTAACTGAGTAAAGAACAGTAAGTACTACCTCTTCAGTCAAAAAATTTGAACCTGGGATGCCTGGGTGGCTCAGTTGGTTAAGCGGCTGCCTTCGGCTCAGGTCATGATCCCAGAGTCCTGAGATGGAGTCCCACATTGAGCTCCTTGCTCAGCAGGGAGCCTGCTTTTCCCTCTGCCTCTGCCCCACTCTGTCTGCCTGAGCTCACTCTCTCTCTCTCTCTCTCTGACAAATAAATAAATAAAATCTTAAAAAAAAAAAAATTGAACCTATGAGATTAACATGTATTAAGAAATTTTTTTACTTTTTTTATTTTATTTTTTTAAAGATTTTATTTGTTTGACAGACAGAGATGACAACTACGCAGAGAAGCAGGGAGAGAGAGAGGAGGAAGCAGGCTCCTCGTGGAGCAGAGAGTCCGATGCAAGGCTCGATTCTAGGACCCTGAGGTCATGACTTGAGCCGAAGGCAGAGACTTTAACCCACTGAGCCACCGAGGCACCCCAAGAAATTTTTTATTTAACGTCTACAATGTGTATTTCACTTCAATTCTTCTATTGCTTCTCATTCCCCTTTAATATTTAATCCTGCTCTGATTATAACAGAAGGCTTGTTGTTCTGAGACTTGAAATCCAAATTCTGAGAGTCTCTCTTTGTAACTGATGATTTATGTGCCATATTTTCTTAGAAAGATACAATACACATTAGAATGGTGACTTCGTTTTTCTAAGAGAAGTTTCATCACAGTGAAATATGCAACGTTAGTTTAGCATCAGAGTTAATATCAAAGTATATTAGATAAAATAAATTACTTTAAATTTCCAAAGTATGTATAGTTGAAGGAGAACACTCTTTTTTTAAAAACATATACATACATTCCATACTTTTTATGATTGGATAGATAAATTGTGAGGTGTGTGTGTATGTGTGTGTGTGTGTGTAATGACCTCTACAGGCCATTAATAATGATAGGACTTTTAGCACAAATGTTCATGTTATGTTATTCAATAAAAGTCAAGTAAAGTAAACAGCACAATTATACTTCTATAAAAGAAATACATGAAAATATTCAAATGGCTTTTTAAGTTGCAAAGTATATTTTTCTGATTTTGTAACATGAATATTTATTTATATTGTTATTTTCCAAACTTTGACAAGTATCAGTGCCTCTTCCACAACACTAGGGGCTTCTTATTTCTAAAATCATCTTATCACATTATCCTACTTCTAAAAATCCTTCAGAGGTTCTGCATTCCCATGGGATGAAGTTCAAAGTCTAAATGGATGGTCTATAAAGCTCTTTAAAATCTAGTTTCTGGGGGCGCCTGTGTGGTTCAGTGGGTTAGGGCCTCTGCCTTCGGCTCAGGTCATGATCCCAGGGTCCTGGGATCGAGCCCTGCATCGGACTCTCTGCTCCACGGGGAGCCTGCTTCCCCCTCTCTCTCTGCCTGCTTCTCTGCCTACTTGTGATTTCTGTCAAATAAATAAATAAAATCTTAAAAAAAAAGATCTAGTTTCTGCATACTTTTCCAGATGTATCTTCTAACAATATTCCAATATATATTCTGCTTTATTTGAGTATAGAAGAGGCTTTCTGTTTCCTAAGTGAGTTTTTCCCATAATTTCTTGTTTCAATGTATGTTGTACCCTCAGCCTAAATTCAAGTTTCATTCTATCTTCAGTCTCATACCTCAAATTCATACCTCAAACCCAGAAGAAATCTTGAGCTTTTCCCCAAACTCTCCTTTCACAGCTAGGCAAGTCCTACACCAAAAAACCATGAAATTGTACAATTGCCTCTAATTGTGGTTATTTTATTTGTTTATTTATTTTTGAGAGAGAGAGAGAGAGTGAGGGGATGCACACCTGTACATGGGAGGACAAGGAGAGGGACAGAGAGAGAGAGAGAGAATCCTAAACAGTCTCCATGCCCAGCATGGAGGTCCACATGGGGCTTGAACCTTGAGGGCCCAAGCCTGAGATCATTACCTGAGCTGAAATCAAGAGTCAGATGCCTAATGGACTGAGCCCCCAGGCCTCCCTGATTGTGGTTACTTTAATTGCTTGTTCAGTAGTTTCTCCCACTAGTAGACACCTTAGAAACATACCTGAGAAGAGTTCTTTTTATCTCAATTTAATTGTTCTATCCTCAGTATCAAACACATAGAAATGCTTAATGAAATTTTAATAAGCAAAAATATGAGTATTTATAGATTGTATCACTTTATATAATGTTTTCTGTTTTTTGGTTACAGCCCTCAAAGTATGTTAGCTAATTTTCTTGTTAGAATTGGTTTAAAGGAAATCCTTTCCCACTACTAGTGAAATGAAACATCAGTGTGGGAATGCCCTGGTGGAGTCCACATGGGACTTTCATCAGTATTGCACTCTTGTTATTGACTAGTGTGTTGAGATGGTTTGCTTTGATTTGGACTGGATTTGTGCTCTCAGCATTGCCCCACACTGAACTGACCACGGCTAGGGAAATTCAGCAATTATTCCCAAAGAGTGTAGTTTATGTTTTAGAGAATACAATTCTCTATTCATTCACCAAATATTTATTTGATCCAAGCACTCTTTGATACACCCAGGGTACAGAAATGAACAAAACAAAATGTCAGTCCTAATGGACATAAACAAAATGTTATTTCCAACAATAGTTAACCTTCACTGCATATTTGCCATAGGCTAAATGCATCTTCACATGAGTACACTATTTCATTTGCTTTTCATAACAATCCTAGGCTTTGGGTGCCATAATTACTCCTATTTCAAACTAAAATATACTAGAACTAGAATGTGTATACTTTTCCATCATAATAAAAGTGTATACTTTTATCCTCCAGCCGGTTTCATATACTGGAAAAAGTAAAAGTTTTGGATTCAGGCCTTTCTCCAAAGCTGTGAGAGTTTTGACATGTCATTTTGCCTAATTTTCATCTTTCTTCTGCATATTGGAAATAGTAAATACCATATAAATGAGCTACACAGAATTAATGATACAATAAGCGAAGTATTGATTTATTTATTTTTAAAGATTTTATTTATTCACTTGACAAAGAGAGAGAGCACAAGTAGGCAGAGAAGCAGGCAGAGAGAGAGGGGGAAGCAGGCTCCCCGCTGAGCAGAGAGCCCGATGTGGGTCTTGATCCCAGGACCCTGAGATCATGACCTGAGCTGAGGCAGAGGCTTAACCCTCTGAGCCACCCAGGTGCCCCAAGCAAAGTATTTATTAATGTGCATGGCCTGCAGTGTATCCTATGGTGTTCATTACTAACTCTTGAATCTACTACTGTAGATGATGGCTAGTTCTGTGGGAAAACTATTTAACCAAATCCTAAATAGGTGACTCTTCTAAGAAATAAGGTTTATTAAAAATGCTTTTAATGATAAATATACTATAGGTTAATAAGAAATTATTTTTGATTGAATGTTAGAACTTATTAATCTGTAAAACATTTTTAACTTTGTTGTATCAATATAATATTTTCTGTAAATAATACTTATCTATTGATTCAAGTGGATACTTAAAAATTAACACTAACCTCATCTGGGTTTTTTTGGATTTTGTTTATATACTTATAGTCAACGATAATAAATCAGTGGCCTGTATTACTTACATAGTGGACTGTATCAATTACTTATAATTTTTAAAATTTTAAATTCTCTCATCTATCTTAGGTAATTATTATGAAATAAAAGCTAGTCAATGCTCAGTTTTGAAATCTAAAATCTTTGTTTTTTTTTCTATCTATAAATGACTTTAATAAGTGATTTTTATAACCTTCCCATGTGATTTATCTAAATGTTCTTCACCAAAGGAGATATTCTGATATAGAAAAATTTTTTGTTTCCCACCTCTTTTTTTTTTTAAGATTTTTATTTATTTATTTGATAGAGATCACAAGTAGGCAGAGAGGCAGGTAGCGAGAGAGGAGGAAGCAGGCTCCCCGCTGAGCAGAGAGCCTGATGTGGGGCTTGATCCTAGGACCCTGAGATCATGACCTGAGCCAAAGGCAGAGGCTTTAACCCACTGAGCCACCCAGGTGCCCCTGTTTCCCACCTCTTTGAATAATCTAAGCTTGTACCTTGTTATGATGTTTTCATAGAGTAATGAGAAGATGAAACTAATCTCTAAACCTTCATTCTCTGACTTTTATTAAGCTTCATATATTTAAAGATTTTACTGTAAAGGAAATAGTCTTTACTTTAGACTGTCCAGCTTTCTTAATTGAGAAATGACAATTCTTTCCTTCCAATATGTTTCTTTGTTAGCGAAGACCTAAAAGCCAGATGCTCACTCTAATTTAATTCAATTACTAAATTCTTTGATTTTGTACTATGCATTTTGTACCTTATATATATCTAAAATTGAAGAGCTTTTCTCTTATTTCTCTAAGTAGAACCAGTAAAACTGTCCTGTGATTACATTCCACATACAACTAAATTATTTTCATTAACAAAATGTGATTTTTTTCATTTTAAAATAGATTATAGGAAGACAAATAACATTTTCCTCTTTTGTCTTGTTTTCCAACTCTCCTTAGATCCTTTATGCTTCTGGGAAGGTCTACATGATATTTTTTGTTGTGATAAGCTTTTGGTTTGCTTTTTACATAGCAAGTTTGTTCTTTGGCATACTTGCTATGTCCTATGAAGAAGAAAAGCAGAAAGCTGCTGAAAAAGCTAAGAAGATTGAGCCAAAATTTCAGCAGACTTCAAAAGAACTTCAAGAAGGAGACAAAGCAGTTGAGGTATGAATTTTTCTTAATGCTTCATAGAATCAAAGAATTTGAGCTATTTCCTCAAGATCTTGGAGTATATTGCTTTTCTACATGGTGCTCAGTACTGTGTATTGTACCTGGTAAAAATATTAACAGTGATTTTGATAAATGGGCTCACTTTTGCTACATAACATTATTTCTTCAGTGCACCATGGCAAGAGTGACCAAGAGCTTTAAATATTTCTTTAAGACAGATAAATTTTTGTTCCAAAATGTATATTACTACTGCTGATAAATGATGGATATATTATTTTTCAAACTTGACTTCTCTGAATGCAGATTTAGTTTATTAATTCAAACTTGCTTCTGATAGTTCATCAGAATTAACTGGAAAATTTCAGTATTCAACTCAAAAGTGATACTGTCTTCCATAATTTAGAAATCATGAAATACTAAAAGCATAGATTAAAAGTACAGTACTAAAGTTGTAAAAAGAACAAACAAATGCAGTCACTGGCTTTCTAGCTCTTTCAAGAGGAAATGCACTATACATCTTGATATAAAGAATTATTTTATCCATGGAATAACCAAATCCATGATAGTAAAACTTAATAAAGTTTAACTCTAATTTTCAATTATTTAATGTGGCTTTTGAGTTTATTTTCAGATTTTTAGCTTAATAGCAAAAAATTCAGTCTATGAGTGTAAAAGTATTGACAGAAGTAACATTAAAGAAGTTGTAGAAATTATCTTTAAAAAATCAAAATTGTGCCATAAGTGTACTAAAGGAAGAGGACCCAGGAAAACAACCACAAGTAGCTTTCTTATATTCAATCTCAGACTTCTTTCTCCACTGGGGAGGAAGAGGTTTAGCTCAGTCTCCTAACACCCCTACCTGGAGCTGTTGAGGTATATGGTGGGCAGGAGTCAAGTAGCCTGGGGTAGGATACATTCCTTGCCTCTTCCAGGCGTTGCTTCCTTCCCCTGCATTGTAAAGACCCTTTTGCCTGGGAGCTTGGTCTTTGGAGAGCTCTGGGCCCAAAGTGGCCACAGTCAAGTTGAATTCTCCTTGACTGGAGTGGCTTAGTTATAGGACTTCACTTGGGAGGAGAGGTGTCATGCCCTGCCTCCTTTTCCATTCTTTTAGATTTGTTACAATTTTGCACTCTCAACATCTGCTTATAAAGATTGTCTACACTGGAAAAAAAAAAAAAAGAAACAATTTGATGGCAAAAGGACAGATTCAGGGAGCAGACAAAGGATAGAAAAGAGCTATACTAACACCCTGTCACATGAAAAGAGTAAAAAGAGATGGGGAAAAGTAAAGAGCTAAGATACATTCTGGCACTAAGTGGAATGCGTAGTAAGGCTGGCTAAGAGATTTATTAATATCAAAGGTAACTTCTGGGTCAAAAGGGGGTAAAATGTTAACTTCTCTCTATATAAAACTATTAAGTCATCGTCAATAAAGACGTTCTAGAAAAGTAGTTCTACTAAAAATGTGGGAACTGAAGAACAGAATGTAAGATCACACCAGATTCAAAGTATTGATAGATACTGTGTCTACATGGTTCATAACATGCATACCATTGAAACAAGAAGCAATTATAGACAGTATGAAGAAAACATGTACAAAAAGAAGCTATTGAGTGTAGCCATTATATCATCCATGAGGAAGTCACAGAAAAGATTACAAAAGATTTCTGTCTCTAGAAATGAGTGTGGGGTCCTTCTGATTGAATGATTATGGTCTGAATGGTATTCGAATGTGTAATTTGTTTTGAAGTGGTTTTTCAAATGTCAAGGACTACACACAAATGTATCCAAGAGCACAATACTTCTCTTATGCCAAGATGAGATGCCCTATTAACTCTGCTTAGGAAGAACTTGTATTATTTCCCAATTTCTTAATATCTCCATTCATTTGGCTGCTTTGGGTCACATGAAGCCTTTCTGGTTTTAATTAAAATCTTTCAATTGTAAAGGATTTCTTTTCCTGGAAGAACACTAGAACATTTTGTCATGAAAAACTTTTTTGGGAAGTAAAAGCGAAGGTCATTTTCACAAGATTTACTTTATTTTCCTTTTTTATTTATACATAAGAAAATGCTGGAAAGAGAATTTAAAATGGAACATATTGAGGACCCTATAGGTGACTGATCTGATTTAAGACTAATCAGATTCTAATTCTGATGTTGGAATTACTGAGAGATTAGATGCTTCATATTCTCACGTTGTAGGAAAGCAGTAGATCATATTGGCTAAAAGCACAGTTTTGCAGTCAGATAAATATAGATTTCAGTCTGTTTTAGCCACTTAATAGATATTTGCCAAGTCTGTTAACTTTTCTGAACTTCAGCTTCTTTGTCTGCAGGATGTATATAATTGTAGTATCTGTCTCATGTTGATGTGAGATTCAAATGAAATAAATTCTTGTAAAGCAGTTGGCAGTGCTTAGAGTATACTGAGCAACTGAAAAAAATGTTAATAGCTAATTATAGGAAACACAAGAAGGCACAGCAGTACCTAATGATTATACTCCACCAACATAAAACTCTTAAGTCTTTGACTATATCCCCCTTTTGGGGGCAATTAAAATAATAACAATAATAGCAATACTAGTATATAATGTTTATTGAGTGTCAGCTATGTTCCACACATATGATAAGCATCTTCATGATCTTCAAATTTTATCTTCATTGAAGAGTTCTGTTGGAAAGTTTGACCTGTATTTATTGGTGTCTGATTTCTCAACACTTCACTTCATTTTTCGCCACTTTATTTTCCTGGAGGCTCAATGCTGAAACTATATTATTCCATCAATTACACAGTTGGCAGATGAAACTTTCTTAAGAATTGCCAGTCATGGGGCACCTGGGTGGCTTATGGGTTAAGCCTCTGCCTTCGGCTCAGGTGATGATTTCTGGGTCCTGGGATCGAACCCTGCATCCTGACTCTCTGCTCAGCGGGGAGCTTGCTTCCCCCTCTCTCTGCCTGCCTCTCTGCCTACTTGTGATTTCTCTCTCTCTCTGTCAAATAAATAAAATCTTTAAAAAAAAAATTGTCAGTCGCTATCCAAACGTCAAGAAGAGAATCAGATATACACAACTGTAGGAATATAAATATTTTTGAGAACATTTTCCCATCTAAAATGATATCCTTATAGCTCATCTATCTAATTACATAAAGCATTATTGACAATCTACTATATGCTAGGCATTATACTAAGCTTTGGAGATTTTAAAATGTTAATAAATACAAATATAGCATTTATCTTCATGAAGCTAATGGTCTAATGGGGAGATAGACCATAAAATTATCATACACATAAAATTGTACCTCTCCGAATACCAGACATTATGTGTTTCCTGATGTTATGGGAGACATAAAACACCACATACAATATTCTTGCCATAATCTGATCTAAGCCTAGTAAGCCTCTAGATCTGTCTTTTTCTAGAGACTATAAGAAAAGAACACAGGGGCATCTAGGTGGCTCAGTGGCTTAAAGCCTCTGCCTTTGGCTCAGGTCATGATCTCAGGGTCCTGGGATAGGCTCTCTGCTCAGCGGGGAGCCTGCTTCCCTTCCTCTCTGTCTGCCTGCCTCTCTGCCTACTTGTGATCTCTGTCTGTTAAATGAATAAATGAAATCTTAAAAAAAAAAGAAAGAAAAGAAAAAAGAACACATTAAATTACACTAAAAGGACACAATATATCAAATCAAGAATGTGGAAAATTCTACAGTTATAAGTGATGCATTATCATCAACAAGTAAATCACAATAGAGAAAATAAAGTCACAAGATAATCAGTAGGCCTGGGAACAAAGTGCAATGTGGGGATCTTTTTTGTATTTGATTGGAACAAATAAACTATAATAGAAAGTTTCTGAGCAATGAAAGGAAACAGAGCATGGTCTGAGTATTGGATAATATTAAAGAGTTACTAATTTTCTGATTGTGATCTTAATATTGTGATTGTGTCTTACAAAGTTTATTCTAAGAATTATATGATGTCCAACTTATTTTTCCTGAAATATTTTAAATAAAGTGGGGTGAGTAATACATGAGAAGTGAAGAGTATATTATTATTAAATTTTAAGGCTGGATATTAGGTACCTGTTGATTCACTGTATTATTCTATTCTAAAAATAAATAAATGAAACTGTAGCAAGTGCTATAAAAATGAGAAACATGATGTTTTAGGAGCCTATATAAAGGATTTCCCTGAGTAATAACAGAGTTTTCCGAGGAACTGATGCTTGAACCAAGATCTAAAGAATGAGTGCATGCCATGTAAGGGGAAGGAACAGAGTGAGTCAGGATTAAAAAGGCCAGTGTAGCTGCAGTAGAGAGAGCAAGTGTGAGTCCAAGATGAATATATCAGGTGTTCACTGCTAAATGCTAGAAATATGGCTGGATTCTTTCTTATTCATACCTCCTCTCTAGAGAAAATTTAAACCAGTTGTGAGAACAGGAATTTTAGGTGCTTTTTCCAGTCTAATTTTAACTTTGGATATGCCCTTATTAGCTCTTAAACTTCCAAACAGATTACTGAGTCAGGATCTTCTTAATTTGCATTATAAAATGGTTCTGTCCTTAGTAGTTGGCCAACTTGTGGGTGTTCATTCAATATTTTTAAGAGCTCCATTTAGGTAACTATATTACTAGACCAATATGTAGTTTATTCACTATAGATTCTAAAATATATCCACATTCAAGCCAAACAAGTAGAGATTAAATATGACTACATCAACAATAACATAGTTACTCTCCTCACTGTACCCACTTCACACAGATGATTATCTTGACTAAATTCCTTCTTGGGGTGATTCCATCAGACATTGTCACTATCAGAAACATCTCTAGGAGAAGCAATTCCTTTATACTAGTGGAAGGACTAGTGGAAGGTATTCAGTATACCACAAAGTATCATCTTCATGAAGATAAACCTGGGAAATCCCTGTTAGACTTTAATAACAGAACAATTATGCTTCTGTTGGTTTTTGACTCATGGAAATTTGAAACTATATAAATTATAACTTCTTTTTTTATTATGTTAGTCACCATTCTATAACTTACATTTTATGAAACCTTGTAAGTCAGTTAAAAAATAGTTTCTGGAGTAAGTTTAGTTAAGGTAAATAAATTAACCTCATATCCTGAGTTTTTAGCTTACTTTTTCAGAAAAAAAAATTAGTAATGAGGGAACAGAGATCAGTAGACCTGAAGAATCTGTCATTTTCATGGTGGAATCAGTATATAGTAGAGTTGGTTTTTACCTCCTCTGACTCTAGTATTTATGAAATTAGAGGAAACTTGACTGATACTGAATGAGATAAATATGATGATTCCTTGACATCTGTTATGCTACTTCAGGAAGACTAGAGCAGAACCTGCCAACTACGGTGTGCTGGGTGTCAGTTATCATTGAGATCCGACCACTGATTCCTTCAGTGTTAGTGAAGCAGCACCCCCATCACACTTACCTCCATTCTAGAGCAGCCTGGACTATGCAAATTTATTTACTCTTTATTTCACCTATTTAGCTACACCTATTTACCAAGGTAAATATTTACCAATACCTATTTAACTTGGTAACATGTTACCAAGTTAACAAACATACCAGTTTCATTCTCCTGCGTGTCAAATATAAACACTGTTGGGAATTCTGTGGTGTAATATAATCTACCCATTGTCAGGTTTTTTTCTTTTGTGTGTGCCCGCATGCATGCATAGATTTCTGTCTCTAGAAATGAGTGTGGGGTCCTTCTGGGGAAGGGCAGAGGTAGAGGCAGAGAGGGAATCTTAAGTAAGCTTCACACCCAGTGCAGAGCCCAGTGAAGGGCAACTTGATTTCACAACCCTGAGATCATGACCTACTCCGAAATCAAGAGTTGGACACTTAACTGACTGAGCCACCCAGGTGTCCCACCATTGTCAGTTTCTTAGAGTTTAAATTCAAATATAAATTATATTCTTGGTCACTAGAAACACATGATCTCTATTTGTGATAACTATGATGGTATAGAAGTTGAGACATCTACATCAAACCCTAGAAATGTGTTTCCAGAGCAAGGCTTCTTTTGAACTCTGTGTAACCACATCGGTAAAATAGAGTATCTTAAAACCATTACTCAAGTGACAAGACAAAAAGAAGTGATTCCTTTGTGGAATTTTCAGATATGTTCTAGCCAAAACAACTCTTTTAAATCCATTCTTTTACCTCATACTATTCAAGTTTATTTCATTACTACAGAGCCAAATAATTTTTTTTAAGATTTTATTTTATTTGACAGAGAGAGATCACAAGTAGGCAGAGAGGCAAGCAGAGAGAGAGAGAGGAGGAAGCAGGCTCCCTGCCTAGCAGAGAGCCTGATGCGGGACTCAATCCCAGGACCCTGAGATCATGACCTGAGCTGAAGGCAGAGGCTTAACTCACTGAGCCACCCAGGCACCCCAAATAATTTTTATTTTATCAAGAGTTTTCAAAGTTATAAAATACTTTCAAGGAAAAATGTAAGGTATTTGAGAAATACTACTATTCAGTAGCATGTTTGCCAACTGGATATTTTGCAGTGATCCTAAAGTATACATTGAATGGTTTATCAAATATGAGTAATGAATCGCTTCTCAGCCTTTTGGCTAAGATCAAGTACAAATATGAGTAATAAAAACAGTATTCTCTGATTTCCTACTTTTATAGTTGATCTCATTGTATGAAATGATTTTTTTGAGTTGCAAGATAATATACATTCATTACCAAAAAATACTAAATCAGTTTAATACTGCCTATAGTGTAAAGACTAGCACATGATGAAACCCAAAAAGATTTCTGGAAGTAAGAATCAGCATTTGAAAGAAGGTTATAAACCTTCTTATAGTTTTAGTCTTGTATCTACAAAGGGCAGAAGCCAGCACTGGACTCATCTAATTTCTTTTTAGACCAAGACCACACAAATAGAAATGAAGAAAAGATCACCAACATCTACGATCACTTCTTTGAATATGTTGGATGATGCTACTGCTGCTATCAGACATGAGGAAGGTAAAGTAAAAAAATAGTTAGACACTCTGAAAGGTACTATTGATAAGACTCACTTTTAAAGTAATCCTGTAATTTCTTTAGAATTTCAGATGATAACAAAAATTTAAGGAATAACATAAGAATATTAAAATGAGCAATTCCATATACATGGTATTTTAAACATTGGTATTTTAGACATTCTTATCACTCACCAAAGAGTACTAAGAAATTTTCTTTAACATTGAAAAAAACAAAGAAGTACTAACTTACAACTTAAAACAGAGGTTGGATAATATAACAATCATATATTAAGATATTTTTCAATATATAACCAGTAATTCATTATCATGGACAATATTAAAAGATATTATTTTGTAAAGCATAAAAATCTAGAAATTCTAAATCATAATCCTCAACTTTATTCCATATTTGTTTTCTTGAGAGAAACTCCTATGATTTGCTTCTAATACACAATTTATCTCATTTCATTTGTCTAACTCAGCAAGCATGAACAAAATAAAGGAAATTTGCTTTGCTCTGCTTTTTATTAGTACAGAATATTTTTATTTGCTAATTCCAAATCAGAAGTCTAGTTTTAAACATCTCTTTGCATGATAAAGTCAAAACATTTTATTAGTTAGAACTTAAACAATTTGCTAATGTTTAACTTTTTTATTCCTTCATTTCAGAATCTGAAAAATCCAGGAAGAGATGCCCGTTGTGTTGGCATAGATTTGCTAAAACTTTCTTGATCTGGAATTGTTCTCCCTGTTGGTTAAAATTGAAAGACTTTATCCATATGATTATAATGGACCCATTTACTGATCTTGTCCTTACCATATGCATAATTCTAAACATATGTTTTTTGGCCTTGGAATGTTATCCGATGAGTGAAGAAACCAACAATGTTCTTAGCATTGGAAACCTGGTAAGGCTCTTGTACCTTATTTTCATTTACGACTTCAACTTTTCTTTAGTTATCATTACCCCATTATTTTATTTTATTTTATAATTCCAGTATGTTGCAAATGCATTATATGCATAGTAGATGAAGTATTATATTCATACTTCCACAACTGATCACCCCCAGCCCTGCTTTGTAAGTGTACCTCTCATTTAATAAGTTTGTAGCTGAAGCTTAAAATTCTACCATTTAAGTTTGAGATTCTAGTCAGTTGCTTGGCAGTTAGGTTAAATGGAAATATTATTTATTTCTTCTCCCTTCCCAAACATATCCTGGTATATACCATATATATCCATAGCTTCATAGAACAGAGCTGAGCAGAGGTGAAATAAGAAATGCAAACTCCTCACTGACACCTGAACTCTGAATCCGGACTACAACCGCACCTGCCCTGTCTGCTCTAGCCACCTGTCTTTGGCTTGATGGGAACTTATCCTTTTTTTAATCAATACAATGCAAAAAGCAAAACAGATTTCTGTGAGTTTAAAAACAAATCACGTTCAAGAAAATATACAATGTTCAATTTTCTTTGCTTTTATGATGGTGGTGGTTTGTTGTTTGGTATTAGTATAAATGGCCAAACTGCTACCCATTTTGAATTACATATTTACTTGGAACCAATGCAACAATTGAGTCATTTCTACCAGTATAGTTTTCAAGAGACACTGTTCACAGGTTTACTTTTTTTTCCCCTCGGTTCACATATGCACTTTTTAAATTCTTTCACAGTTTAAAAAATTAAATATCTTATCATGTATTCTGTATCCCAAAAAGAGCCATTCAAAATGAAAAGATTTTCATCTTTAAATATTCTTTTGTTGTCTTTCAAGACAGTTTTTATTAAATATTTGAAGATTCTGTATACAGTGTTTGACGTTAGACTGTTAAATTAAAAATGTTTGAGTCTATCCTTATAATATAGACTCCAAAACTAATCAGCTCTTGAGAGAGGAACTGTAAAGAATGTGGCAGTGAAAAGTTATAGTTTTTGTGTATGAGGTTCTGATAATGTAATTGGAAGCGTATTCTCATCTGTGTGTTTTGTTTCTGTTTAGATTTTTATTGGAATTTTCACAGCAGAAATGATTTTGAAAATCATTGCAATGCATCCATATGGGTATTTTCAAGTAGGTTGGAACATTTTTGATAGCCTGATTGTGTTCCATGGTTTAGCAGAACTTTATCTAGCAAATATTCATGGAATGACTCTTTTTCGAACATTCAGGGTGGTAAGTAGGATCCAAGATCTCAATTTTATTTTATGAAAATTTATCTCCATCTCCTCAGATACAACATGGGAAGAATAGTAACACTTATCCCACTGGGGTATTTGAAATAATAAATGAATTAATTTTTATGTAAAGAGCTTAGAAGTTGCCCCAGGAAGAATAAGCATTTTCCTGTCATTTGACCAAAACTTCAAAGGAAATAAGCTACATATGTAGCAAATTTGAGGTATACTTTAAGGAAGCAGGACTAGAGTTACTGGTCAGTTGTGAGGAGCAGAATAATGAGGAGTCCCAGAAGCAGAATGCCAGTGTATAACTAAGGAATTTGAATGAGGTGAGTATTTCTAAATGTAGAGTTAGAAAACGTTAAAAAAGACCAGAAAGGCCAGGGGAATGTTATTATGAAAGTCTTTAAGTCAGAATTGGTATATATGCCTGTAATGTAGGGTAGTAGTAAGAATCAGAAAACTACCCAAGGAAATAATTAGAAGAATATATATGGGAATGTTACATACTTGATAAGTAATATATTCTCGTAAGAAGTTGCAGGAATGTAGCAGGAATCAAGTACAATTAAGTAGATTTGATCTTATCTAAATAATTCTTCAGAACACTGCCTTATGTCCTCATCTGTACATTTTTCTCATCAGTAAGATAAACATATGTGAGATGTACCTATCAAATTTATGGATGAAACAAGACTGGTAAATACCAAAAAAAAAGATAAAAGAGATAGTATCAAGGTATCTGAAAGGCTGGTGTGGATTGTATATAAATGATTCAGTTTTACATGGATAAATGTGAAACCCTACTTTTGAGTCCAGAAAGACAACTATATACTAGAAAAAGTTGGGGAAAGTATAACATATATAAAAGGGGATGTTTCAGTTTTAGATGACTAAGTTCACTGTAATATGGTGGCTAAAATTTTAAGGTAATCCTTCCCTGTATCAATAGAAATAAAAAAATCTAGTGAAAAAAAGAGAAATATCCAGACTAAACTGACCAGACTGCTGTGTTTGGTTTCTGATATGTTACTTTAAAGGAAAATACATAATAGAAACTTTTGTGGAATTTAATAGGACCTAACAGACTTTTTTCAGTATCGTCTATATGTCAAAATGTGGGAGAATTTCCTGTGTTGTGAAAAGCAAAACAAAGAATGGATAGTTGCCCTACAAGATATTAAAACATAAAACTAGAGTAATTATAATCACATAATAGTGAATGGAAATTGACAGATCAACAGAAGAAGATATGTATGGATCTAGTATAAAAAATACAGAATATATATGATGTATTAAGAATTGTATAAAATGAATTTTCAGTGGTTAGTATTAACAATACTTAAAACTGAGTATTACATTAAAGACTACATATGTAGTGTATAATGCTGATAAAAATCTTAAATGTACATCTTAATAAATAGTGACCAAGTTTTTCGTTGTTTCTTATTTTTGTTGTTTCTGGCATTGCTGTATTAGTTGAGAATTTTCAAGTTGGCAAAATACTGGCCAACGTTTAAGATTCTGATGCAGATTCTTAATATCTCCTTGGTGGCCTTGAAAGACTTGGTCCTGCTGTTGTTCACATTCACATTCTTTTCTGCTGTGGTTGGCCTGAAGCTGTTTGGTATGAGTTATGAAGCATGCGTCTGCAACATAGACAAAGACTGTCGTCTCCCACGTTGGAACATGCATGACTTCTTCCACTCCTACCTGAATGTGTTCCGGATTCTTTGTGGAGAGTGGATAGAGACTTTATGGGATTGCTTTAAGATAGCTGGCCAATTCGGTTGTATTTCTTTTTACATGATGGTCATTTTAATTGGAAACTTATTGGTAAGTAATCCATGCTTTTAAATTTTTCTTGAAAAACTGATGTAATGTAGTCTGGTATTTTCATGATGTCTGTTAACTGTGTTGTCTGATATGGTGACCTCTAGCCACAGTGACTGTTGGTCACTTGAAATACAGTGTTTCAATCTGAGATGTGCTACAAGTGGAAATATGCACTGGATTTGAAGTCTTAACCTCAAAAAAGAGTGTAAATTATTTTATTAGTAATTTTTATATTGAATGAATTTTAAAATGATGACATTTTTAATGTATTTAGTTAAATAAAATGTTAGTAAAATTAACTTCACCTGTTTTTAATTATGCTCTTAACGTGGCTACTAGAAAGTTGTGTAGGTGACATGCATCATATTTCTGTTGGATAACACTGCTGTATAACCTTGCTACTCAAGTAGCATTGGCATCATGTGGGAGGTAGTTACCAATGCAGACTTTTAGACCCCACCCCAGACCTATGGAAGTAGAATCTACATTTTAACAATAACCCCACATTTTTATATGCACATTAAATTTTAAGAAGCACTTAAATGTAACACTGGTTGTCAAACTTGGCTGTACATTGGAATAACCTGGGGAATTAATAAAACTAATAGAATGCCCTGGATCCATTCCCAGAGATTTTGATTTTATTGTTTTGTGGACATAGGCTGGTCATCAGGATTTTTTTAAAGGTTTCATTTGATTAAATTGCAGCAAAGTTTGAAAGTCATTGGTTTATTAAACTATTGTGCATTAACTAAAAGGTAAAGCTATCACTTTTAAATTCCCAGTGATTGAACTATTGTTACGTGGATTGAATAAGTAGCTTTCACTTCTTCCAAGAAAAGGGAATGGCTTATAGAAGAAAACTGCTCTTACAGGAAGAAAAACTAAGGATTCACCATTTGATTTTTATTTATAAAATCATAGAGATCAAATAGATTCTCCAAGACTGAAAAAAAAAAAATCACGTTAGACTCCATTGTATCTATTGGTGCCCTTCCTCATTACTTCTATTTCCCCTTGGTTATAACCCCTGTCCACTTATCACTGCTGTCATTATGTTTAATTGTTGATTTACTTGTCTCAACCTTCCTTATTAAACTAAGCTCCACAAAGGAAAGGATTGAGACTATTCTCTTATATCATCAAAGCCTAGAACAGGGCTCAACCTGTAAAAATATTTCAATGACCTCTGCCTCTATAGCTCTTGGTACACTTTCAATTTCCACTGACATAACCTTATTCTTACTGGCTGGGAAAAAAAGAAAAAGAAAGAAAACACAACCATACCAGCGTACATACCAGCATGCCTAATTAAAAATGTCAGAGATAGATTTCACTTCAGTTGTGGTATAACACATATGTGCAAACAAGGTCATTAGAGACAGATCTTTGTATATCACACATCTGCCTTCTATACATCTGTCTTGCTGGCTAGTAGCTTCTGTTTTATCAAGATGGCTGCTGCAGTCTGAAGCTTCATGTGTTCATATCATGTCAAGTTTAATAGAAGAGAAATTCCTGTTTCATTCCTGGAAATCACAGCAAATTTCTCCTCTTATCTTATTAGCTCTGAGTCACATGTCTATTTGTAAACCAATCTCTATTGCTCAGGGTATTTATGATTTATTGTGCAGAGTGTAGAATATATTAACATATTATTATGTTAAGCTACTCAGGATCCTGTCCTGGAGCTGGAGTTGGCATCATTCCAGAGCCAAATCATACAACTGATAATAAGGGTGATTTCCCAAATGAAATGTAAGTTTCTCTTCCCAAAAGGAAAGGCCATGGTTGATGGCTATTGACTTAAATAACACATACACATACATACACACACACAAACACACACACTTCACAAAGAAAAAAAAATGCTGAGGCAATTATATAATTGTACTTCTGTTTCTTTGTTTTTGAACTCCACTCTGTTTCTTATTTTTCTCATTCCTACTGATCAGAAACTTGATGTCAGTAGGCAGAGGGATTTCAGGGTAAAATGGAGTTATAAGAGCCTCCATTTCCAATTGATTGGTCATCATATTGCTTGGCTTGCTGAATCTTTTAAACTTTATTCCCCTCAACAGTCATCCACGTGTGGGACATCATGATAATAATAACACTACAGTAAATACAAGGGGAAAAAAAGCAAGGAGAGAATCTGTAAGGCTACAGAACTTTTCCCCTGTACTTCCAACTTGTTGCATTATAGCATTGTAATTTCACTTCAAAATTCATGTAAAAAGAAGTGTTTCTCATTTTTTAAATTTAACTTTATCTTATTTGCCCAACAAAATTCCAACAGTGACTCAGCCTTCAGTGGAAACCTTAAAACATTATCATACAAAAAGCCAGTATTTAAGTGACTTTTAAATGGTTACATGTAGTGTTGAGTTGTAGAAAAAACAGTTCAGATCCAAGAAAACATGGGTTCAAATTCCAGTTGTATCATTTACTAATTAAATGGCTTTGTGCACATTACTCAGGCTCCTTAAGCCTGCAATCTCTAATAGGAGAATCCTTAAATGGTTATTATAACTCAAATTATATTAGCTAGCACTCTATAAATATTCATAAATATTTACTTTTTTAAGCTCTAGATAATTATAACTCCCACATCTATAGAACATCTATAGAATTTTGTTAAAACATTATTTAGAAGTTTTAGTTATGCAAACATTCCAAGTGTTTTCACTTGCAAGTTAAGTAGTTGCCACCAAGTGAATTGTGGTCTCTGGTTGAGGACTAGAAACATAAAAAGAAAAGAAGTAGAAAACAATATAAAATGTAGTTGTTTTTTAAAAATAAAAATTTGATGATAAATATGTATGTTGCTCTACATGTTTACATATTCCCAGATTAAATATATGTTAAGATACAATTGCAACAATACTAAAATAGAACCTTCATACATGTTAAATTCCTTGATTACTAATGAAATAATTACTTGTACTTTAAAAATACTTGAAAAATGCTTGCAAAATACTTAAAAAGTACTTGAAAAATAATAAATAAATCTTGAATCTTCCTTCTCTTCCATACTACTTTATTTTGATAGGAGTTACTCAATTCTTACCTAACAGATAGACATCCTTGAGGTAAAAGGAAGGGAAAATTTCAGGAGAGACATTGAAATGGTTTTTTTTTTATATACATTATGTCATCTTTTGTTTTCTAGTACAAAAACAAAAAAAATATTTTGAATCTCTTTATAAAAACACTGTGACTAGAACAAAGTTACTCTATACTTATGTAATATAATCTTTGTGTCTCCCCCTTCCTTCTTTATTAATGCTAATAAGAAGTAGTCAATCCGATATAGTTTGGTAATTTACACATTCTGTTTTTCTTTTTTAATTCCTTAAAAGACTATTTTTAATTCAGAGCACACTTGAACAATACAGTAGCATCTTGTAGTATTACAAAATTTTTCTTTATACCATAGTTCAGAGCATTTTGAATTTTGTTGTTAGCCTTTTAACATTTTCACTGTAAGTATAAATCTGTAGACATTGTGTGTGTGGTATGTATGTTTAAGATACGAGAAATCTTAGATTGTAAGCTTTTAAAAATACAACTGTTGTAGCAAAATTTTTCCTTGTCTAAATCCTGTCACAAAATCTATTCTTTTATTTGTTCTATAATTAATTTTTTCAAAAAATATGTATTTATTACTTATTTTGTGCCTAGCACTGTGCTAATTGTTTACTTAAGAGAAAGCTTGGTTCCTGCTCACATGAAGCTTATAGTCATGAAATTCTCACCTAACGTCCTTTCCTTATTTCTTGCCATGCCTAATAACCAAAGGAAGGAAAAGAAACAACCAACAACCTTAAATTATATTTAGTGTTGCCCTCTTAACATCCTGAACTCATTGTCTCTTAAGAATGATAGGAATCCTAATGATGTAATTTAAACAAGGGCCATAGAGCCCCTGCCCATATCCGTAAGTAAAATGTATATTAGTATACACACCCATACACATACATATGTATATATTCTTAAGTATAATTCATGTCATTTGAACTTGCCCATTAAAAGCAATTTGTAAAACATAAAGGAAATTAAATAATAAAAAGCTCAAATATCCAAAAAGAGGCGGATAAACTTCCATAACAAACAAGATACTCAAATTATTATTTTAAGTTTAAGAGAATTATCAATATAAATCTCCAACTCTAAACTCCAAAAATATTATCTATGTCTTACAATTATAAAGAAGATAAAAATATGATTCTCTAGAAACTAAGTGTGGCTTGATCATATCTTTCAGTGATAATAAAGGTCAAAATATACACTTCCTTGAGTTTAAATAACTTACAACTATTAGGTATGATTCTTCCATCATTCATCTCTTTCTTATTTAATCAAATTTATTACTACAAAGAATTGATTAACCTACCCAGTGCCTGTGCTAGCATGTCACAAGAAAATTTAGATGCCAGGAATAGCTCTTTCCCCATGATAGTCCTAGTGGGTTTGCAGAACCCATGGACATGTCATTGTACATCTTCCTGGGATAGAGCTGAAATGATCCGCCACCTGAAGAGGCAGCCTGTTTTCTCATCTTGGAAGAGGTAGCCTGGCTCAATGAAGGAAAACAAGCTTTGGAATAAGACAGACTCAAGTCCAATCTATGTGACCTGAGATATTTGACACCTATAAGCCTTGCCTTTTTCATCTATAAAAGAGAAACAAATGATATGTCATTGAATGTTGTGACCCTAAGATGAGTTCTGGCCGTACAAAGTCTTAGCACATCGACCCACTGTAAGAACTGAATAACCTAAATAGCATTAGAGTTTGTATTGTGTTTGCAAATCTCCGGTAAACTTTAAAAAAAAAAAAAGATGTTTATTGTTTAGAAGGAAACAAAAAGTGAGATAAGCTTAACCTCATTTACTTCCTCATTTAGATAATTTACCTGTTTCTGGCATTGGTGAGCTCATTTAGTTCCTACAACCCTGCAACTACTGAAGAGAACGACGAAGCAAAAAATCTCCAGCGTGCAGTGGCGAAGATTCAGAAAAGAATAAACTTTGTGATTTCTAAAATATTATGCAAAAACCAAAATGTTTCAAAGGAGACAATGGACCATGTAAATGCTGTATATGTTAAAGAGAATATTTCTGACCATACCCTTTCTGAATTAAGCAACACTCAAGAGTTCCTCAAGGATAAGGAAAAAAGCAGTAGCACAGAGAAAAACACAATGACTCAAAACGAAAGTCAATCACTTATCCCCAGTCCTAGTGCCTCAGAAACTGTACCAATTGCTTCAGGAGAATCTGATATAGAAAATCTGGATAATAAGGAGGTTCAAAGCAAGTCAGGTGATGGGAACAGCAAAGAGGTAAGTTGTTTGAATATTCTGATTGCTTATTGTTGGTTTATGGCATTAGAGTAAGAGAGTGGATTAGTGCTGAAGTTACAGTTGAAGAACCCAGTCAATCCTAGCTACAGCATTCCTTGCTCCTGACTGTACGCTCTTCATTAAGTTAATTAACTTGTCTAAACTTCAGTTTCCTTGTCTATAAATTCAGATAAAATTGAATCTATTTCTTAGGGAAGATAAGACTAAGAAAAATAGTTCAATGGTCCATAGAACAATGCCCAGTCTATAGTGAACACTTGGTAAAATAAGATAATATCATTAAAAAATTCAGTAAATCAATAAGCAGGCAGCATGGGATGATGTAAAGCTATTGAAGAAAGTTAAGTTTTCAAAATCAATGTGTATTATCAGAGAAATCAAACTCTCCTGGGCATTATCATCCTTGAAATGTGAGACTCAACTACAGGAGGGCTAAAATACTTTCCTACTTGCTAAAATTCTAGGATTCTTATCACTTTATTTCTGCAACATTTACTGTAACATATATAATTGAGCTAGACTAAAAGAATAAAGAAAACTCACCAGCTTGAATTGTGAACAGTGTGTGGCTTTATCAATTCTGGGACAAACAAAACAAAATGGAAAAGCAACGACAACAAAAAACCCAACACATTCAAAAAAGCATAGATATTGCTGTTAACTTAGCTTCTAAAATGTACACCCTACTGGAATCAATCTTAGTGTCTTCATGTGCAAATACTATATCTTAGTAGGAGGTGTAATTTAATGGAAAGCTACATCTACAGAGATCATGTCTTCTCTCTGAGCTTGTACCTCAGTAGAGAGGTACTTGCATTGTACCATCTCAGTTCACTCACAGGCACTGGGGAGGAAAGACAATGTCTCTTTCCACATCCCAAAAATCTCTGGCACCATCTTGTCTCCCGGATCTCTTCCAGCTTGGCACCTGTTCTGCAGTAACTTCTCAAATTGGCCTAAAAGGAGTTGAATTGTAATTATTCAAAATCCTTCTAGCTCCTAGTGAAGGCATCTCTCTTTGTGTTAGAGAAACACTTTCACTCTTTAGCATGCCCAGCATTTTTAGGTTCATTTTCCTTTAAATAATGCCATTTCTAGAAAACAAGGAAAACTCTTCTCCAGCTACACTTATGTGTCTTCACTTACAACTTTGACTACCATTTATTTCTGGGTAAAATTGCTATTTATCACCACACATCATATTGAGATGCTCCAGGAAACTTCTTGCCAATCTCATTAGAAAGTCTGGGATATGAACGTATACAGGAAAGATGACACTAAATATATTTGTAAATGGTGAGGTTTCAGGAGTTGTAATTTCTGCTGCATAATTATTTGGTCCTGTTGATTGGTTAGCTACTCATAGATTTATTCAGTTAACTGTACATTTACTTACATATTTAATTTAGACACTTCAAAGATTATACAACTCCTGAATACTTTAGGATTCTGATCTACTAAAAACTGAAGAATATAAAATCACATGTGATCTGATAATTCTGAGATACAGTCCCTTTCTTTGGTATTTAAACTCTCAGCCATTTTTTAGTTGCAACATAACTAAATTTATATAGTTATAAAAATAACATCAAACTTTACATTGGGTTTTATAACTTTTTTCATAATGTAGAGGTATAGCATGGTCAGTCTCCCATGCTATTAAGTAGTCTTCTAATAAAATTATTTATAATTTTGAATCCCAATTGATTTATTTTTAAATTAAAATAATACATACTAAAAATGCTTAGAAAAATCACATCAAATAATTTATGCACAATTCTAAAATTACTTAAATATAAGGTGTATAATTTTCAATTATTGAATGCATAAGGATTATATAATGTTCATTTATTGTTTACTTTCAAATCAGTACATGGCTATACCCTTTATTTTATCAGAAATAAAGAAAATATGAAGAATTGATATAATAAAGGCAATTTGTTTGGGAGTAATCTCCTGATGGATACATTTTTTTTAATTGAGTACCAAATGTCTTACTGACAATTGACCATGTATGGTCCAAGACAAACAGAGCTTCCTAATTATATTTCTTTGACATTTATTGAGGATAAGACCAATAGGTAGGATACAATATTTACAAATTTCCTTTTGCTATACTTCACTTAGATCTTTCCTTAATTTTTAAGAAATAAGTGTTTTTTCCAGATGTTTTACTACATTTATCTTATTTTTTAGTTAGAAAATAATCTTCCTTAATAACTTTAAGATCTTGGTCATTTAAAGGATGGTGTGTTGTATATTTATTTTAAAATTAAGTAATATAAAGCATTGTGAGAAAATGATTTCAAGTAAAAGCCACGCATGTCTCATGCATTATTACCACATATACAAAGTCATGGCTATCTTATCTTATCCAGGGTTGAGCTTCAGTCAAGAGCAGAGTGCGAAAGAATGCTAATCTCTGCAAATAGCTTCTCTCCATAGTGCTAGTACAACTTTGCCAGGTCTATTCCTGACCCTTATTCTTTGGGCCATTTACTCATTTCACCTCAGGGTAACCTCACATCAGTCCTGTCCTATGATGGTAAACACAAGAATATCTGGACTAGATTTTACCAAACAAAACTAAGTTCATTCTTGTCTACCCATATTCAGCATCAAGGGGTAATTTATTCTGATACTGCTCATCTAGCGGAAATGGCATATATACAAACCTTGTGAGTAACTTCAAGAGAGCTTTGAAACTCAAAGCCTTTTGGATACTGGAGATAGAGAATCCTAGACATCTTTAAGGAGAACAGTGTTGTGAACTGAGTGCTAATTATTTTAGCTTAAATGAATTCTTAATTAATTTTTTAGAACTTCAGCTCACAGAGATATGCATGCATTTTAATTTCTGTCCTGAAATTAGTCTAAAAACTCTTTAAACCTGATAAAAGTCTTTCTATACACAATTTTTCTTATTTATGAAGATGAAATAAACTTGAACTCCAGTGAGAAGCTTTAATCACAGCTTTCTTGGTGGGACTTTACTTTTCAGAAGGTAAAGCAATCTAGCTCATCGGAATGCAGTACAGTTGACATTGCCATCTCTGAAGAAGAAGAAATGGTTTATGAACGCGAGAAGCCAAAGCATCTGAAAAACGGTAAGAAAAAAATAAGTTCTTTTGATCATTATATTGAAATTACACTAAATTTCTCTTAACCTAACTAATACTATGGGATATATTTTAATTTTAGAGTTTATTAATTTGGTTAAGGAACACACACACACACACAAACATGTGTGTATCACATGCACACATGCCTGTATGAATCCTGATAAAATTTATAGGGAATTTCAATAGAAAAGTGAACATTTGGAAAAGAGGGAGAGAACCTAGTTCCTAGGAAGTTTAATAGAGTAGTTAAGAGCTTTCTGGAACCAGATAGCCTGAATTCAAATCCCAGCCCACCACCGACAAGCTTTTACTTACCCTCTCTCAGGCTCATTTCCTAATATGTAAACTGAGGATAATAATAAAACTTACAGGATGGTAAAAAGATTAAATAAGTATACATGTATGTGTGTGCATTCATGGGTGCGTGTGTGTGTATACTTATGCTTCATGGAATACTGTCAATATTCAAAATACCTATATGAAAACTTCTTGTATCTTTCAGAGGAAAACAAATCATGTAATGGTGATTTTTTTTTAAATATTTTATTTATTTATTTGACAGACAGGGATCACAAGTAGGCAGAGAGGCAGGCAGAGGGAGAGGGGGAAGCAGGCTCCCCGCCGAGCAGACAGCCCAATGCAGGGCTTGATCCCAGGACCCTGAGATCATGGTCTGAGCTGAAGGCAGAGGCCTAACCCATTGAGCCACCCAGGTGCCCCAATGGTGATCTATTTTTATATCCCACATGAATATGAAGAAATGTATAAGACTTCAGTCAGTTGATTAATTCATGAGATATGTAACATACATATAATTCCAATTAGTTTCCTAGCAAGATTAACAGATAATTACAGGTTCTGGACATTGGAAATCATCAGAATGGTAACTGCTAAGTGCTCAAATTTCTGTATTCAAACCAAGAACTTGCTCTCAGTAGCTCAACTTTTAGGACTTGTATCATTCAAGACAGAGGAGGAAACATTTCTGATAGTTTTTTCCCCCAAAGATATATAAATTGACAGTAGATAAAATTCTAAAATGAAATGCATGGACTTTAAACTTCATTCACCTCTCTTTCTTCATTTTCTCCCCTGTTAAGCACTGTCTTCTCAATTCTCAGATTTTCTTTTAGCTAACTCTCTTAGCCAGAAGGCAGAGTCCAACCCATGCACATGTACTCTACCCACAAAGTACTCTGTAATCCAGGGGAGGTCCTCAGATAATCTCAATCAGAATCCCTATTCTCATGCCACCTAAGACCTGACATCAATTTAACTGACTTTAACTAATGTTATACTTATTAACATTTCATAAATATCTATGTACTTAAATGAGAGTGTTTATTATGCCATGTAAATCTTCAGAGAGTGAACTTTCAGGCATCATACCAAAATGTGATATGCAGATGTTGTGTGTGTTGGGGGATGGTTGGGTTGTGTTTTGTTTTGTTTTGTTTTGTTTTGTAGGATGGGGGACAAATTCTGTTCTCAGACTTTGTCCCACAAGACTAGGGAATGTTCTAAGTCACCTCTGCCTCTCACAATTTCTTCCTCCTTCTGGTAACAAACTACTCACAAGTTTTTCTTTTCTTTCCTCAGTGACTTCAGTGGTCACAGAAACAGGGGTAAAAATCAAATGTTTCTAAGTCAGAGAGCACGTGTATTAGATTCTGTAAATACCTAATTGCTAAAGCATATGGTAAGCTTTTTCATGACTTTTCAAGATTTTTCCTCTTAGCGCTTTCATTTTTGACAGGTTATAGAAGAAGATCTTCACCTGGCCAACTTAGTAGAGCATCCAAGAAAGGAAGAATTTGGCAGAACATAAGGAAAACCTGCTGCAAGATAGTGGAAAACAGTTGTTTTAAGTGTTTCATTGGCCTTGTCACACTGCTCAGCACAGGTGCTCTGGTAAGTAAGTATGGGAGACTTTTATGGGAAAAAATGTATTTGAAGTCTGCTACTTGAAGTCATCATGCCAAATTAGTTTTCCTCAGAACACTTATTATACAACAACGTTCATGATTTTACTTTTGGAAGACATATATTGCAGTTTCTTAAAATCTGTATATACCTCTTTCAATATTAAATAAAACAATTTTGAAATATGTGAATGACAGTGGCAAAAATGAATGTTAGATACCTAATACTTATTTTAATAAAGTTTTATTTTAGTAATATGCACATACATACTGTTGTACTGTGCTAGTACTTCGGTACCAATTCAATCAGGAAAGAGAATTGCTATCTATACTTTCAATGACCTTTGAACCAAAAATGTATTCACCTATTGAACCAACAACCCTAATTCTGGGAAATTATCCTATAAATATCTGAGCATGTATTAAAGGCATTTACAAGGCAATTCACTGAAGAATTCTTTGTAATAGAAAAAGATTGAAAAGCAAAAACAGTCCATAATAAGTGATTGTTTAAATGTGCTGTAGTATAATCTCCCTATGGGATACTGTGCAGCTATTTTAAAAATATAAAAACTGGGGTGCCTGGGTGACTCAGTCAGTTAAGCCACCAAATCAGTTTTAGCTCAGGTCATGATCTCAGGGCCCTGAGATCCAGCCTGAGGTCAGGCTCCCTGCTCAACAGGGAGCCTGCTTCAGGATTTTCTCCCTCTGCCCCCTTCCCATGATCTCTTACTCTCTCTAAAATAAATAAACAGATTTTTTTAAACAAATACAAAAGCATGATGATATTGCAAGGTACAGTAATAAGTGAAAAAAGGAAGATTTAGAATAAAATGTATCTGTTAGTTGTTTATTAACATTCATGACAGTTTCCCACTGTCATTCATTTATTTTGAAATTGTTTTATTTAGTTAATACTGAATGAGGCATGCGAGGTTTTACATAAAATAAAGAAAATAGAATGTATGTTATTTGCTTGTATTTGATTGAAGAGGATCAGAGAAGGATACACAGTAATAGTTAATTGTGAAATCATAGAGCAGAGAAGATAGAGTCACAGCTGGGAACCAGACTTTACACTGAATACATTTCTTAAGTAAACTTTATATCGATGTTTAGCACAGATACTGAGAACCGTGTTGAAATTCTAAGTGTATAGGCTAAAGAATTTTCACAAAATGAATGCACCCGTGTAACTGCTGCTTAGCTTGAGGAATAGACATTACCAGGACTCCAGAACCACATACTCTGACCCCTAACAATTTACTTCCACACTCCACATGGGTAGCTGGTATGTGGACTTCAACTGCCAATAGTTTAGTTTTGCCCATTTTTTATGTTTTTTTAAATGGAGACTTTTTAATATTTTTATAATATTTTGCATTATATACTATTTAATAAATAAATACATATAATAAAATCCTTTATAATCATTTTAGATGTTTATGATTTGCTTGTATAGACACTTTTTTTTTAATTGGTTCAACTGAAAGTCAGTAACTCTACTGTCATGATCTATTTACTTTTATTTAATGTTAGACTTATAAGAATCACACCATTATTTGTATATGATTATTCTAATCCTTATTTACTTTTTGACCTTGAATGCACTTCGATGTAAGTCTGCTTGGCGTTATTGGTACTTTTTTGCCTTTTTCAGTGCTAAAAGAAAAACATGAAATTGCTTTAGACGACATTGTCAGACTTTTCATCCTCCACAGTAAAATTAATGTTGACCTATTAAATCTAAGAAGTTTGGGAGAAATGATTATCGTTTTATTTCCTATTCATGTGCTTCCACTGGTTTATCTGATTATTTCTGCGGCAGTGCAAGTTTTATGACTTTGCTTGTAACAGCAGTGTGGATATCTGAAGACAAATTAAAAAAAAAAAAATCTCTACTTCTCTATTAGCACCTAGCATGCACCTGTGAGTTGACAACATGGAATTAGAGATAAGACCCAGTCAGATGTGAGTAAAGGTTCCACCTCTTATATTGAGTGTGATTAACTGACTGGAGAGAAGTTTCTTGGATCACTATGGTAACAAGTTGAGTCTGTATAAGAAGAAGTTCTGGGACCAATTAAAGATGTCTGCTATGGGCATGGGATCAGAAAATGATACGGATTATGTGAATAAATCCAAACAAAGTGAACCAGCCCTTAAAACAACAACCTATGACTTGACTCACCATCTGCTTAATAGGGAAGGCATTTCATTCCTCCCTATGCCAAAGATTTTTTAAGAAATTACATGTATACTAATCCTTAAATTTTTTACCCACAGGCTTTTGAGGATATCTATATTGACCAGAGAAAAACTATTAAAATCTTATTAGAATATGCTGACATGATCTTCACTTACATCTTCATTCTGGAAGTGCTTCTAAAGTGGATGGCATATGGTTTTAAAGCCTATTTCACTAATGGCTGGTACAAGCTAGACTTCATGGTTGTTCTGGTATGTATTTTAAAGAAAAATTGAAACGTTCATTATTTGATTTCCATCTTTACTCGAATTCTCACTTAACTTTTGCATTTACTTGTATCTTCCTTTCTTTTTCCCCCTCTCTGTATATTTTAAGTTACCAAAATCCCCTATATCTTCATTTGTAGTGCTTAACATTTGTCCTTTTCTTCTCATCCTAATATTTTAAAAGTTCAACATTTCATTCCTGGATTATTCTAACAATCGCCTGTGAACCCACTACTAACAGAATAGGCCTATTGCGCATCAGTGTACATTAGTATCCTAAAATATTTAAATTTTGTTGGTTCAATTTTTAAGTCATATATTCAAAATTAGACGACTTACCACAACCCTCACCATCACCACACTGATCCAAGCTACCAAGAGGTCACATTTGGGTCAGTGCAACACTTCTCAACCCGAGATCCCGGCTTCCGCCACCGCACACCTTCATTCCATTTCCCACACAGCAACTACATGCATTCTACTGTCGTAAAATCAAAGCCAGCTCAAGTCTCTTTTCTTCTTGAAACCCTCCAATAAGCATCTCATTTCACTTCCAGTAAAAAGCTACACTCTGTGCAATCAAAGCCTACAAGTCTCTACATGGTCCGATCTTACTCCTCCTACTCTCCATTTCCCCATCCCAGTCAACAGACTGCTGCATCAGCACTGACCTTCCTAAAGACCTTTAGGTATGCCAGAATGACTGCCATCTTAGTGCCTTTTCACTTATTTTTCCTTCCACCTGGAACTTTGGCTGGCTTACCTCACTTAAGCCTACTCAAATAAAAATGCTGAAGTTAGGTCTTTCTGCACTACTGTATTTAAAACTGCTTCCACTACAATGCTCCCTTGTCCTTTCCCACTTTCTTCATCTCCATAGCACCTGTTAATGTTTTATATTAATTGATAGTCATTGTTTATTCATTATGATTGTTTGTCTTTCCCCACTGAAAGGTTAGCTCCTTAAGGGAAAATTTGTTTTCCCAATATGGTTCTCTTCTTATCCTCAATGCCTAGAGCAATTCATGTATCATAATAGGTACTCAGTAATTTTTGTTGACTAAACAGATGGTTCCTGTCCTATAAACAGTGATTGAAGCTTCTCACTGTATAAAGAAGATGACTTACAATATCTGTTCTCTGGCTTCTAAATAAATTATTCCAAATTAACCTTTTGCTCCAACAAAATTACGATATACTTTCAACCCATTTTCCTCTTTCCTAGTCATTGTTCTTACGTGTCCACATCCCTCCACACTTACATAAATTATATGCTTACTTCAAAGCTCACTTTCAGACCATCTCTTAATATAGCATAAGAAAGAACAAATTTTTCATTTATGCTGTCTTGAAAATACAGAAAATATGAAGATACTATAAAAGTTGATCGTAACTCTATCATCTTGCTTGATCTCTATTAATATTTATTAATCCTGATTGATTTTTTAAAAGATTTATTTATTTAGTTACTTACTTACTTACTTATTTTAGAGAGAGAAAGAGAGAGAGAGCAGGGGGAGGAGCAAAGGGGGAGGGAAAGAGAGAATACCAAGCAGACTGTACACCAAGCATGGAGCCCAAGACATGGGGCTCAACCTCATGTCCCTGAGATAATGACGTCAGCTGAAACCAAGAGTCAAACATTTACCCACTGAGCCACCCAGGCGCCCCAACCCCGAATGATTTTTATGCATATGCTTACTTTAAAATATCACCTTAGTATCTTTCTATACATATTTGTAATTTGTATTTGGACTTAAAAATATTTATATCTTCCTTGATGCCTCGTCTCTGAAATCCTATTCTATTATCTTAAATAATTATGTATAAATTAATATGTAAATATATTCCAAATTTTGCTCTTATGAATGCCTAGTATACTATTACTAGATGACAAAAATTCATGAAACTGATTCTTAATCTAATTTCAAACTCAAAATTTATATAAATATTCACCCTTAATCATAATGTATGTCAAATATACAAATTTTTATTTATCTCAATAATATATATTCCTACTACCAGAAAATGTTTGTTTTATGTTTTTTAAAATAATTTTACCACAAAGTTATTTTCTTATACATTTCTATAAGTCATTGTTAAGATATATGGAAATATACTTTAAATCTTTTGCATACTTCTTGGTAAGGTTTGAACTGTTTATCTTTTTTATAAAAATGCAAAGCTTATTTTGCAGATTGTTTCGATTAAGTAAAAATTAAGCCCCCTATTCACTCTGTTTTTCCTTAAATGTATATAGGTGTTTTGTCTGAGCTTAGTAGGCAAATCTCGGGAGGAATTCAAACCACTTACTTCCATTAAATTCCTTCGGGCACTCAGAGTTCTATCTCAGTTTGAAAGAATGAAGGTAAGAAAAAAGTTTCTAAGCTAATGTGTAGATTTTTATTTACGATTATTGAACTTCTATAAATTAAATCTTCATAGTCTTCTCATTTGCATCATTAACAATATTAATGCAAAAACCTTACATTCTACTATTTTAATATATAGAAGGTATAGTAGAAATTTATTAAGATTTTAGGTCTTTATTGCTCATAAGATAGGAAAAATCATAAAAATAAGAAAAAAAAAACCCTAATAGTTGGGAGAGAATATTAAATTTCAAAAAGTAATACCATTCTAACCCACACGGATGTCTATGAGTATTAATAAAATTATCTCAATGTTGAAAATATAACTGACAGAAAATGAAACTTTGATCACCTACCTGTTTAAAGTTATAAGAATATTGTGCACACTAAGTAATTATTCTAAATAAAAGTGATTTTAAAATAAATTAGTTTTTTTTAAGTTACACATAACAAACTATGAACTCTTGTGTTCTCTCCCTCACCAACATGTTAAAATCTCTTCTGAGCACTGTGAGTAAAACTAATAGGTTGAGCCACAAAAAACAACTCATGTTCAATCTTTTGGGCCTATGATGGAAATTCACCTGCTATGGCTTGACCTAATGAAGAAAACAGAGTTGATGACCACCACACATAGTGTAATTATGTAATATACAGTGATCAACTGTGTGCGGAAATAGCAGCAAAAATCTAATTTCACCTTTCATTTCATAATCACACATCAGTGTTTTCTTGCATTTTTCATTTGCAAAGATTACTTATCACAACATGCCCATTTGCTTAATATTATAGAATGCCACATTGTCAATATAGATAGGATCCAATAAGAAAATTATCTATGTTTAATGGTCTAAGAAAGCGTCCAGTTTCATTCTTCTGCATGCGACTGCTCATTTTTCCTAGCACCATTATTGAAGAAACTGTCTTTTCACATTGTATATTCTTGCCTCTTTTGTCATAGATTAATTGACCATATAAGCGTGGGTTTATTTCTGGGCTCTCCATTCTGTTCTGTTACAGATTCAGATCTTAAGCTTCATCTTAACCTCTGGAGGTTCTGTAGTTGAAAGATTTCTGAAAATATATCATTGAAGTCACATGATTATAAAATTAATGCCTGCTATATTTAATAAGCTCCGGTCTTGGGTTCTCTCATTACTGAAATATTTGTGTCAACTGTATCTACAGCTTTTATTCGTACATAAGTGTATTTTCTGATAAGCATAGCATTTTTTTCATTAGAGGTATCAGTGGGCCTCTCAAAATATCTAAAATGCCAACAAAGGATCTGTGGCTTAGTTTTAGAAATAAAATTAAGTGTTACTGAAAGCACAGTTAAAAGTTAAATTATTTATTCAAAGCCAGAAGACTAAGGAATATCAGCAAGAAAACACAGCAAAAAGGAAATGGATTTAGTAATGGCTGAGGGAAGGGAGGATAGAGTTGTAGCATAGAGAAATGATGGTGCCTCATGAAAAAAAGAGAAAGAAATGAGATTGGGAGAAAAGGAGTCAAAAGTGTAATGCTAAGGAAAAGACGAAGAAATAGCAAAGAGTGGAAATTTCTGTTGGCTATAGGAACTGGCTTACATTTGCCATAACCACTACAGTGGAGTGATAAGAATAAAATTCCGATTGTAATATTCAAGAGAGAAGGGAGTTGAAGAAATGGAAACGGTGATTCTAGACTATTACTGTTACTCGAGTTGAGGGGGTAGATTTATTTCCCATATTTCCCACTCTGGAGTGGCTCACCAGGGACATAGAGTGGTGCCGTGAGTTGGTTTTTTATTTTGCTGGCTTCAGGTGCCCATTCAATGTTTCTTGACGTAGCCTCTTGCCTTGACTTCACTGATATGTGATCTCTTGGTCTTCCTCTTACTTCCCCCGACACTTCAGTGTCTGCTTTGTAGGCTAATCCTTCCAAAAGTTAGAATCACCAAGACTTAGATGTAGGCCTGTTTCTTTCTCGTTTTATGCACTTTCTAGCTAATACATACACATATAGTCACACAGGTTCGGTTGTCTATACAAGAAGGTGATAAATGTGTTGAATCAGTGAAATAATTATTTTGCTAATCAATTCTGTTGCCTTTTAGCGATTCCTTTAGTACAAAAATTTTGAGACCGTATGAATTTTTAATGTTTATTTTTTTATTTATTTTTTTTTTAAGATTTTATTTTTATTTATTTGACAGAGAGAGATCACAGTAGACAGAGGCAGGCAGAGAGAGAGAGAGAGAGGGAAGCAGGCTCCCCACTGAGCAGAGAGCCCGATGCGGGACTCGATCCCAGGATCCTGAGATCATGACCCGAGCCGAAGGCAGCGGCTTAACCCACTGAGCCACCCAGGCGTCCCTAATGTTTATTTTTTAATTAAAATTTATTATTTAGGTTATTCAAATACTGGCATGTGGCCTATTGAATTTTTAACGATGGCCTTTTTTGGGTTATTTCTATATGACATTACATTTAGTATTTCCAATTAAAGTGATTTCACATTTCTTACCTAAAGTTTACCTGTTTGTTTCTTTATTATACACCAGGTGGTTGTGAGAGCTTTGATAACAACAACTTTACCTGCTTTGAATGTGTTTCTGGTCTGCCTTTTGATCTGGCTGGCTTTTAGCATCATGGGAGTACACTTATTTGCTGGCAAGTTCTATGAATGCATTGACCCAAAAAGTGGAGAAAGGTTTCCTATATCTGAAGTCCTGAATAAGAGTCAGTGTGAAAGCCTTGTGTTTAATGAATCCATGCCATGGGAGAATGCAAAACTGAACTTTGATAATGTTGGAAATGGTTTCCTTTCACTGCTTCAAGTGGTAAGTTCACTTCTGATTTTTTTAAATAGATGTTTTTATATGCTCATTCATATTATAGGTGGAAATAAAGAACAAAATGTGGCTGATTACTAGAATTGGTTATAACATATTTTAGCAATTACTAGTAGATATGGGACATGCTACACCAGCCTTGTTTGGAAAGACAAAAGTAAAACACAGATGCTGCTCTGCTGGGAGAAGGAAGTACAGAGGAAGGTAGGATTGACAGGGAAGATGACAGGTACTGGAAAACTATTTCTACTTCTGTCATCATTGATAAGGTAATAGGGTCACAATTTTTGGTCCAGCTCAGGGTACTACTGTTTTGTTTCTACTTAGTGCTATGGCTCCTCAGTCACCCAGCATCTAACAGAAATGAGCAGATAAATCATTCATTCTTGTCTTACCTCCCCCATAGAAAAGCACATGTGTAGCAGTATAGTAAAAATGACACTTGGGCACCATGTATTTATTTATAATTTATCTATATACCTCTTTCTATTTCTACTATCTTACAGTATTTTGTTATCAACTACAATTAAGCTACTACAATGAAGCTAAGTGGTTTTAAATTTGTGTTAATAGACAATATAAATGCAATAATGAAAATTATAAAGGTCTCAATTACATGGTATATTGAAATGTGGTCAGCCTTACTAATCGAGTTTTACTATATTAATAACAAATTGAGTTTTACATTTTATTTGCCACGAAGCTTACAATTGCCGTAAGAATTAAATACACGCCATTTTTACAGGCAACGTTTAATGGATGGATCGCTATTATGAATTCAGCAGTTGATTCTATTGGTGTAAGTACAATATCATCTTAGAGCCATTGTGAAGGTTCAAGGCAAAGTTATTTTCTCAATTCAAGAAAAGGGTAACAACAATAACAGAATAAATAACATGATGAAAGCAAATGCTTATGCTAGACAGAAATTAAATACATTTCAGATTGACTCTGTCACTGAAAATGAAATCCTCCCAGGATTATGTACAGTGGTTGAAGCCCAGTAGGCCCATTTGAGGGATTATCAGACTTCGTTACAATTATGAAACCAATGCAGCAAACTTTAAAATCCAAGTAAACAAAGCAATAATGCCACTTCACCAAAGAACAAAGTGGAAACATTACCTCATGGAGAATTGTTGGTTTTTCTTGTTGTAAACTGCTTATAAATTCTATGTTTTAAAAGTTGGTATACCAATATTCTGCTTATTTTTTCCACTTTTTAGTTTATTCTTATTTTTAAAGATTTTGCTTTTTAGAGCTGTTTTAGGTTTACAACAAAATTGGGAGGGAGGTATAGAGATTTCCCATATACCCACTGTCCCCACACATGCATTGCCTATTATCAACACCACTCACCAGAATGGGGCACATTTTCACCAAGGATGGACCTACATTGACTCGTCATAATCACCCAAAGTCCATAGTTTACCTTAGGGCTTACTTGGTGTTATACATTATATGGGTTTGGACAAATGTGTAATGACATATAACTATCATTATAATATCATAGAGAATATTTTCTGTATGCCCTAAATCTGTTATGCCCTAAGAAATCTGCTATGCCCTACCTTATTTTGCTTATTTTTTAACTTAACTTTTAGGTAAATAGGCAACCTAATTTTGAAGAGAACATCTACATGTATTGTTACTTTATCAACTTCATTATTATTGGATTATTTCTTCCTTTGAGTATGCTGATTGGTGTTATTATTGCTAATTTCAACACGCATAAAATAAAGATAAGTACAGATATTTTTTGTTCACTAGTGCTTGAGAAAATCAAGCACATTTATAAAAATGTCCTGCTTCAAATAATTAGTTTGGGATTCAGCTAAATATCATTTTTATTTGGTACTTAGCTAAAAAAAATAAGTTGATATTTTTGCATATTGACAAATATTGTTAAAGTGTTTATCTTTACATTGTTTTCTATATTCAAATGTAAATGGGCAAGTTTAAAGGCTAAAAGTTACAAGTGTTTCTATATATATGTTTGTAAAAAATGACATGCTGACAAATAAGTAATATTGTGGTATGTCTGCACAAATATGTAAAGAAGTTCAAGAAAAATATGCTACACATTTTTACTCTCTGATATGTTCACAGCTTCAGAGTCATAACCAACATAGACATATTTGTCAGTGCAGTAGGTTTTCCAGCTAGACATAGAGAGAGTCCTAAATATATGACCCAAATAGGAGTGCTTGAAACAAGTAGGAGACAATTCAGAGACAGAAGCAAACATCCACCTGACACCATCTCCACACATTTCCTTCAGGGCTTCTACAAATGCAAATGCATCAAAAGTCCTTGAAGTCTGCTTATTTTAACCACAGACATCTACTCTCTAGAGGTGTAGGGAAACCTAAAAAGTCAAAGAAAAAAATAGTCTAATTCTGAAATTCTATCTTCGGCCATGTCATCAAAGTTCAGCCACGTGCAGACTCTGGTAAACAAACCACTCAGTCTCTGCTAATCAAATGGGATTAGGAGAACAGTGTTCAACTACGAATCTGATGGATGCTTCAGCTTCTTGGGACTTCAGCCCAATGGGATAACATCCTAAGGTTTGCTTCTGGACTTCAAATTCATGACTCTCATCTAATTTAAGTGACTGAGTCCTGACTTAGGGCAGTAATAATTCCTAATTTTTAGATTAACACATTAACTATTTACCTCTTATTCACTTTATACATTCTGTATAAGATACTAAAATTAGCACTAGGAACACAAAAATAAATAAGCTCTAGAAGGCACTATGAAGATGTAAACACAAGGTGCTGTTGGCATAATAGTATAAAAATATCATCTGATAAGCATTATTTGGAAAATTAAGTAATATACAGACATATAAAAATATATAAATGACCAATTCTGTTTTTTTCCTGCTTATTAGAAGGTACAAACCAATTTTATCTTTAGCTTTGGAATTCAATTTTTCTTAGCAAACCTTTCCATTTTTCCCCCACTGTTTCTCCTTCATCTCTGTTTAACATGAGGTAGGCTTCAGGAGAATGAAAAGATGAAAAAGAGTTGACTGCCCACAAGAAAGTGCACCAGAACATAATTGATATGTGTCATTACCCAATATTCTACATGTGTTTAGTGTGGATTTGTGTGCAAAAAATCAGACGTAGTTAAACGTGATTTAGATCATTGCCTTATGCCCTTTGTAAAATATTAAATCAGTAATTACCAACCTTTCCAAAATGCCTATTAATGATAAGGTAAAATTTAGATTCACTGTGATTTTAATATCTTTTTCTTTCATTTCTTTACCAGGGAGACTCAAATATCTTTATAACAGTCAAACAGAAGAAACAATCCCGTGCACTGAGAAGGCTGTTGTGTGAGGAGTCTCAAAAAACAATCCGGCGCCCAGGAGTAAGTTTCTTCTGTATATTCTCTTTTAAAAATGAAAACGTGTTTTTGAAATTCTTCACAAATGCTCTTGGCAAAATTTAAAAATATGTTCCTTAACAAAGTTTGGATGGTCCTTTGTTTGTTTTGACTGCATACACTGTAATTATAGTTTGGTAAAAACTTGGGCCCTCACTTATTTTCCTGTTTATGCTAGGAGGGAAATTATAATTCTACAGACAATATGTGTGTATATATAAGCTATTAATAAGGCCACTATGCCTTTCTTTTTTTCATCCACAGAATAAATTCCAAGGATTCGTCTTTGACTTGGTAACAAGTGAAGTTTTTAATGCCATCATTATGGCTCTTATCTGTTTTCAAGCAATAACTATTATGATACAAAGTGATGAACAGAGTCAAAATATGGACATTGCTCTCTGTTGGATTAACTTAGTTCTTATTATACTATACACTGGAGAATGTGTACTGAAGCTCATTGCTTTCCACTGTAACTATTTCACCATTGGATGGAACATTTTTGATTTTATGGTGGTCATTTTCTCTGTTATAGGTAAGATTTTTAGTCAATTTTCTTTTATAATAATACTAATTCAGGCAAGTTCTTATACTAAATGTGTCCTCAGATACAGACAAAGGCAAACAGGCAAACAGAGAAGGGATCCTTCTTATTCCAGTAGGAATTTTTGCATTCATACATGTATACACACTTGACAGCTATAAGATATTCAAAATACTTGTTGAATTAATACATACACTTTACTTTACTTCAGAGATCACCTTTTCAGTGTATCACATACAGAATTTTCTAGGATGGCTCTAGAAGGAGATTTATGTCTTAGCATGATATAACCTTTCACGGTCCCTATTCTTTTTTCTCTAATCTCTAAAACTGTTTACAACTTTCACAGCACTAGAGTGTTAGGCTTTAATGAATTTGTTACCATTTTTCTCTTACCCTGGGGACCTCAGTCTTTTATTTAACAAATATATTTGATTATCCCCTTTGTGAATACACATTATGCTATATGCGAAGAATCCAGTAGTAAACAAGGTAGGCATAATCCCTGTATGCACATAGTTGACAGCCTAGTAAGGGATAGAGATGATTAAATAGTACATATATAATGTTGTGCTATTAAGGTGATAAGGGAAAAAGCACAGGGTGTTACAGTGGCACAAAAGAGTGAGGGGAACCTAACAGTAAGTAAAGGTCAGAGGAAATTGCATGGAAGAAGCAAAATTTAAACTGAAACTTATTGGATACAGGGATAGCCAAGTAAAGAATCTAAGATAAAAATGTTTTAGGCAGGGAAAAGTTTATTTTCTGCCTCCCTATAAGACACATACTAGAATGTAAATTCCACAAGAGACAATATTTAAATGTTAACCGTGTCAAACATATTCTATATAATCAATAGTGAAAATGGGGACAAACTATCTGCCCACTTGTGCTTCCAGAAAATTCAACCTATTTATTTGGTGGTAGAAGCAGTCTACCTATTGATAGACAAGCACAAGAAGCTTGAAAGCAAAGTACATAAAAGCAGGAAGGGGCTGATAGGAAGAAAATAAGAGGAATATGGAATTAAAAAGCCATTTGGGATTAAAGTGAGAGTTACTGAATCAGAGATCTCTAAGGAGAGCAAAGCACAAAGAAAAGCTGTTTGATTTTGAAATCTCAGAAGGTGAAGAATCCTGCATCCAGAATGTGGCCGTAGCTGCATATGACTAAAGTAAAATGATGGAGATTATCGCAGTTAAGAAAGTCAAAGAAGAAGAAACTGACCTTTCAATGAGTTGTTGATGGTGGATGTTGGGGTGGAAAGGGCGACAGTGAACCAAGTACTAATAAGTCTCCAATGAGTGTGAATGAGAAGGAATAAATAGATCATAGAGCCAAGAAATGGTAGGCAATATTATAGTTCAGTGACATGATCCACAATGTGTCAGAAGAGAAATTTTTTTTTTCTTTATAAAATTGACTTAAAGTATCTAGAAATCACATTGGAAAGAATAAAAGATGCTTGGTCATTCCATTTTTCAACCCCAAGAAATATGGTGTGGGAAGAAAGAGCTGTCTGCAGTTGACAATGTTACAAGGGAAATAGTATCCTTAAGATAAAGTCAGATTTTAGATAAGAAAGGAAGTAAAAACAATGTAGTGATGAGGATGTAGAAAAAATTGTCTACAATTAAATGGGAATATGTCTGGCATAATGGAAGAATTTGGAAGATTGTGAGGAGAACTGACAATTTGAGTCAGAGTAGAAGATTTACTATAACAAAGTGGAGATGAAGATATAGGTAAGATAGAATGTCAGAGAGAATGTTGTCATCGACAATGACCAAATTGAAAGGAAATATGAGACATGGTCCTTCCAGATTCAACAAACTTACCATCTCAATTAGAAGCTTCATGGGATTCTCTCCTCCCCACCTTTTCAACTCTAAATGAACCTCCTTGTCTCCAGTACTTCCAGAGGACATATGCCCTATGTTTCTAGGGTAATTGTAACTTTACCTTGTTTTATAGTGGTAGCTCTCACTTCCATAGTTCCCTCATCTAACCACAACTGCTACAAAAAAAGTTCTAGGCCAGGACTCATTTACTTAATTCCATTTAAAACTGCTAAGGACCCAAATACTATTTATGAAATAAATAAATTAAACTATAATCTGTGAATCACAGAATGCCAAACATTTTTGTAATTATATTGATCATCTAAGTCTTTCTACCTTGCATGATAATAACTTTAAATATCTAGTTCTATTCTCTAGATTATAAGATCTTTAAGGACAAAAGTCAAGTCGTTCATCTTTGCATATTTGCATGACACCTTTATTAGATATCCAGTAAAGCCTGGATTGAACTCTTTAACAACTATCACCAGAAAAAAACACGACTAATGTTCTATATTATGGAATCATGCCATTTGTGATTCCAGAAATACTGACCTATAGTACTCTTAAGATGATGTGCAAATAATTCCCTTCCAAATTTTGGTAGATACCCTGAAAATTGCCACAGTTAGCGTTTGGGTAATCCCCACTTTCAATATGTTCTGTTATTTGGGAAGGATTAATAAAATGATCTTAACATATAGAAAAAATGATATAATAGTAATTGAAATAATGAATAGTTGAAATAAATAATTGAAATAATAAATGAAATAAAATAATTTATATTTCTCTAAATATAATCACATTTAAATAATTTTATTGCCTGTTTTATCTTCTCCTACACCAAGAACTAGTTCTGCCTATAACGGTAGGATACTACCTTGTGTCTCCTTCCATTATGGAACTGATACGACTCTCACGGATTATCCACATCCTGCGTCCTGGGAAAGGACCAAAGGTATTCCATGATCTGCTGCTCCCTTTGATGCTGTCTCTACCAGCATTGTTGAACATCAGTCTTCTCATCTTCCTGGTCATGTTTGTCTATGCCATCTTTGGAATGTACAATTTTGCTTATGTTAAAAAAGAAGCTGGAATTAATGATGTGTCCAACTTTGAGACTTTTGGCAGCAGTATGCTCTGTCTTTTCCAAGTTACAATATTTGCTGGCTGGGATGGGATGCTCAATGCAATTTTCAACAGTAAATGGTCTGACTGTGATCCTGATAAAATTAACCCTGGGACTCAGGTTAGGGGAGATTGTGGCAACCCCTTTGTTGGGATTATTTATTTTGTCAGTTACATCCTCATATCATGGCTGATCATAGTAAACATGTACATTGTTGTTGTCATGGAATTTTTAAATATTGTTTCTAAAAAAAAAGCCAAGACATTAAGTGAAGATGATTTTAGGAAATTCTTTCAGGTATGGAAGCGGTTTGATCCTGATAGGACCCAATATATAGACTCTAGCAGGCTTTCAGACTTTGCAGCTGCCCTTGACCCTCCTCTTTTTATGGCAAAACCAAACAAGGGACAGCTCATTGCCATGGATCTTCCCATGGCTGCTGGGGACAGAATTCATTGCCTTGACATCTTACTTGCTTTAACAAAGCAAGTTATGGGTAAAGATGTGAGGATGGAGAAAATGATTTCAGAGATGGAATCAGGGTTTGTGTTAGCCAACCCTTTTAAGATCACATATGAGCCAATTACTACTACTTTGAAACGAAAACAAGAGGCAGTCTCAGCAACCATAATTCAACGTGCTTATAAAAGTTACCGCTTGAGGCAAAATGACAAAAATACATCAGATATTCATATGATAGATGATGACAAGGAAGTTCAAGCTACCACAGAAAGAGCCTATTTTGACAAAGCTGAGGAAAAGTCAACTATTCAAAGCCAAATCTAATCCCACTTACCACATTTTAATCTTCTTCATGTTCTAAAGAAGGGGCTTCCTTGTATATTTTATGTCTACTTTATGGGATTTACATCACCATTAGTAGGACTTAGTCACAAATAAGCAAGTACAATAAGTACTTTCTTAAGGTGGGATAGTGTTAAAAAATAACAGTGTTACAGGTCATTAAATCATAAACTTGCCTACACAGATGCCAACTGGGGAAGAGAAAAAGGCTGTTCTTAGAAACTTCCTTTGAGATCAACCACAGATATTCTTGGGCTGATCCAAACCATGTTTGGTTGACCGGAGCCTTGGTTTTTGTTTTTATTTTCTTTTATTTTTGGTACTGGGAATTCATATTCTCTGATTGTTTCTGGATTCCTGGTTTTTCATCCTTTGGCTAGTTCTACCTAAGCTCTAGCTCTTCAACAGAATTAATTGGGAGAGTAAGAAGCATAAAGGTAACCATAATTATTGCCTACGTTTTCCTCATTTTTTTTCACATTTATACTTTTTCTAAGTATACATCTACTAAAATGATATATATAGAAACTGTTAGTAGACTCCTGTATTATTTTATCATATTTACCATTTATCAGTGATGTAACATTGAGTAGTATGATCTGGCAAATGAAAGTCATAATATGATTTAGAAGAGTCAAGGGTTGCCATTATGTCTAGGGATTTTCACAGAGTCTTGATGCTTACTTGGGAAACTGTGTCCACTTTGAAATACTTTCCACTGTACTTTGTGGTTCTCTATAACTTAGAGAAAGAAAATGACCACTGAAACTGTGAGGAACCTGAATAGGAGATCAAAGTGTAAGTTTGTTGTTGGTGGTGTTATGTAATATTAGTATATACAAATTAGTTTTCACTTCCTCATATATCTATCTAAGTTTGTTTCTGCTGTTTTTAATCCATCACACACACCTCCTGTAAAAGGTTTTGCGTTTGAAAAACTTGAAAATCCTAAATATTAATTTTCACTATTGAAATTGTATTTAAAAGATAGACACAAATAGTTGGTTTTCGACATAATCACAAAAATGTAGCTACTTGTATCCATGTAGTATGAGATTCTGATATTTGTTCCCTTTGTATGAAGATTGATTTCAATGTGCCTACAAAATCCTAAAGGATTTGGAAAGAAAATATATATACTGTTGACTTAAATGGCAAACTTCAAATATGTTGTATGACATCCAATGTCACTTAAATGTCATTAATTGTATTTTATTATGAATGCATGATCTTGAGCCTTAACTATTATAGCTTATTTCTGCCCCTCAGAAATGTATTAACTTGACCAAGATGCCTTTGGGGGAACCCTTAAGTAAATGTAATTTCAGGGTTCTGTTTCTCTCTATAAGTGTTCCTTCCCTTTCTCCTCCCGTTCTTCATCATGTGATGGGGACCAGTGAGGAACTAGTGTTAACTTGGTGACATGGTGACAGCTGGTGCTTGATCTAAATTTTTTAGTTTTCTATTTCTTAGAAATGCTTTAATGTAGAAACTGCTTCAGATATTTAAACTTAACCTTAACTTGCTTCTGTAAATTCAATACCATTAACTGATTTTAGTTTGAAAATTGTATCTTTTACTTGTAAACCATGTTTGCCACTAACCTTCCAAAAACTGTGTAATGAATTATTTTTAACAAAATCTTACAATATATTCTACTTTTTAGAAACTATAGAAAATAATAAATACAACCTGTTAACTACAGGAAGCTTTGGTTTTTGTTTTTGTTTTTAATAAGTCAGCTTGTCTATTTTGTATGATAGGAAATTTTTCAAATGAGCCTAATCACATTAAAGCTTACTCATTCAGGCTCAAAATTCAAAACTGTGCTTCCTTTGGATTCAAAAAAATTTGTAAAATAATTGTTAGTAAGCTTAACAGAGACCTTTACACACTGACAAAATTTACAAAGTACTCTTCCCATCAAAGTCATTAGTTTTTTAGATATATATCTCAATATTACTTAGAATTTGCTTTATGGAGGATAATGCTGAATTTAAATTGATTGTTGTGCTTCTTTAAAAAAATTTCTTTCTATACCTTTTAATACATATAATGAATATACTTTGAAATGGTTTTAAAGATATTGAAAATAACTACCATTTATTGAGCAGACTATTATGCCCCTCCTTGCTCCAAACATTTATCATGCATGAATGCAGCATTCACAACTCATGAAGAAATGATAATTTTCATTTTATAGCTGAGCAAAACAGACTTAGAATGGTTATAAGAGCTTCTATATGGCACAGAACTTGTAAGCAATGAGACCAGAACCTCAAACCAGGTCTAATTTCAGAGCCTTAATATTTGACTCCTATGTACAATAACTGTCTAGGAATAAATGACCTAGTTAGAGGCAGAAAAAGTTCAAGATGAATTAAGTTGTTGAAGAGAGATAAGTTTCCTCTCTCTCTCTCTCTTTCTCCCTTCCCTTCTCTCTTTCTCAATCTCTCCTTTGGTGGAGGGAATTTTAAAAGTAGAGCCAACCCCTGGAAAAAAGAAAGACACAAGGAATAAAACAATAGAACTTTTTTCATTCAATAGTTATTGTATGCTAGATACTAATATAAACCCAGAACTGGTATACATACTCATTCATACTTACATACATAAAACATGCATACATACAGCTGAGACTAGAGAACTTGCTGACTACTGAGAGAAAACAGCTAATCATAATATAGGGTAATTTGTACACTATTGGTGTATGTATTCAGGAAAGAAGATGGGTTCTACATTGAAAATTATAGGTGAAGTTAGTAAAGTGGACCCTGGAAGATAAAGAAAGATTTTATCAATTAGAGAAGAAAGTAACGTAGTCAACAGAAACATTTTTAAGAAAAGGAGTTCATACAGAGATGAACTCCTGAGCTTTTGGTTCTTCAGGCTAGACTATAAAGAGAAAGAAGAATTAAAGATGGGATAAAATGTCTACTCCAGAGATTGGATGGAATAGTAGAGCAGAATACTTTGAGAACCCTGATCCCTTCCCAGACATGCTTTATTTAGTCCTTTGGTTAATCTCCCTTAACTGTTCTTTGCAGTGATTCTAGGTCCACATTCTCAGTTGTAACAGTTAATGAAGAGCGCCAGTCCATGACTGAGTCTTCACTCTCCGGGGGACTTTCATCTTTTATGTTAGAGAACCTAACACTGTCCAGGTCAGACATTTAACTCCTTTCCTTATCTGTAAGTGAATCTCTTATCTTCATTGACTTCAAAAGCACATATGAGCTCAAAGGATTTTCTCTCAATTCCAGCTAGTTTATGAACCATCCAGATGGCACAACACCCCAGTCCTGGATTCTAAATCTACATTGCCCCTTCCTGATGGTGCACAGGAGAAGAATGAGGCACAAACAAGTCAGCTGCAAGAGAAAGGGAGCAGGGGGCAACAGTAGAAAAGACTGTTGCCCCGAACAACTCCTCAGTCCCACTTTTGTTAGATATACACAGTAATCAACAAAAGAGCCAAAGAAGGCCAAACATTAATCATATACCTAGTAGATAAACAAGAAGGAGGGCAAAATATGTCTGGTCAAGCAGTATAACGTTTATAGTTGAGCAAAGACATAAGCACATTCAGAGGACTTACCTAATTAGCCACAGGCACTCTCAGCGGGGCAGTGGGGGTGATGGAGGGATAACAGAAAACTGAAGCAGGCGGCATTCCGCCCTGAGCTAGCCGGGCATCCCCAGCTGCTCTGCTTCAAGGCCATATATCGTCCTCTCCCCCAGAGACCTGTTGCCAGTATGTGTTTTTCTTGAGGCTATATCTAAATGTGCTTGGTAACTAGTAAAATTTCCCATGGGTTATATTTTAAGTAATACATTGTTCTGAGGAACGGTTACACTACATCACATGAGAGTAACTTCTTAAAATGATGCATAAATTCAGAGTTCCCAATCATGTAAAATCTCATCATCATTCTTCCCATTCTTTTCTCCTTCCCATTTTTGTTTTCATAAGATTCTACTGAACACCTAGGGATTAGACACAACAATTTAGAGATAAATAAAGTCAACTTTATCCTTAAAAAGGTAGTAGTGAGGGTTTTACAGAGAAGCAAAATTAATCGAATAACACGTTTGCCCCACTATCCAAAAGTAGAGTGTTCCTATAAATCTTTTATAAACTGAAATGATGTAAAATGAAGAAGTAATTACCACTAATTTATATGGGAAAAAAAAAACTCTATCATTCTAAAGCCCCAAAAAATAACCTTTCAGCTTTTTTAGATCTTTGTGTATCTAATGGATACACAAGATATTTCAAACAAAGTGTGGATGCTCACAAACACTGTTCAAAGGTGTGGCAGTTTGATGTTGAGGTGCTGAGTATAGCTCTAGAGAAGGAGCTTGGTGCGGCCACTCTTGCTGCCTGGATAACAGCTTATGGCAAAACAAACACTATTTTCACTTTTCCTTTAATTTTTTATTTCCTTTCTTCTTTTCATAAAAGTGAAAATCCTCTTTGTATTTCTTTTGGTTAACAAGAACAGGTACTCATGTAGGCCTTTTGTAAAAGCAAACTGGTGCAACTCAAACTTTTGAAAAGCAAGGGATACCTGTATCCAGATTTATAAGAGGAAATTTACTATTACAGGAAATGTTTCACAGGATTACAGAGGCTGAGGTATGCGGCAATATACTGTGTGCAAGCTGGAGAATCAGGAAAGTCAGTGGTATAATTCAATCCAGATCTTAAGGCCCGAGAACAAGGGGAGTCATGGTGTATCTCTTACAAGATGGAGGCCAAAGAATATGGGGAGAGGCACTGGTGTAAGACTTGGAAGTAATCTTAAGACCCAAGAAACAGGAACTCCAATGTCCAATGCAAGAGAAGATGAACGTCCTAGCTCAAGGACAAAGAAAGAGAACTTACCCTTCCCTCCATCTTTTTGTTCCATTCAAGCCACCAATGAATTGGATGATGCTTGCCCAGATTGGTGAGGGCAGTCTTTTTTTTTTTCACCCTTTTACTTTTAACAGACAGATGTCATTGGATTTG